GATTTATTCCAGCACACCTTCTACACAAAGGATCCACAGTTATCCCTTGTCGGTGTTCCTACAGATGCCATTTCATTCCGTGCGTTTGAATATCAAGCCATTTGGATCTCTAGATACCTTGCACAGAAGGTTGTTCTGCCACCATTGGACGAGCAGATTAGATGGGGATTGGCCAGATATCGTGAGAAAGGAAACACCAGGGCCTACCACACGATTGACTGGGGTAAGAAGTTTGAGTATTGGCACGAGTTAACTAGGCTTGGAGGGGGTGTTGGCCCAATAGGTACAGCTGGCAGAGCCTTCCATGTTGAAACACAAGAGGAGATTGAGCTTCAGAATAGCATCAAAGAAAGGCTTTTGGGGTTCTTTAGCGTTGACGAAGGAACAATTGCTTAGCTCTAGGGATGTACATGATGCTGGAGCAATTAGAATAGTAATTTATTAGTTAGCCAAATCAGAGGTTTACTTTGTCTCTCATTAAAAGTTCACAGCTCCGTTCACACTCTTGTTTCTGGTGACTGTGTCGTCGTTGGTGGTTTCACCAAAGTCTTGGTTATCATCATCGGCTCCGTCCCATTCCTGGCCTGAATGGTCAACAGCGGAGTTTCTTCTCTTGTACCACCAGAATGCAAAGATTATTCCTCCTAGAACCACTGGAGTGACGATACCAACGACACAGCCAATGATCACTTTGTCATGTGATGACAGCCCTGAAGATGAGGACGAATCAGACGTTGACGTTGTAGTACGCACCTCACCATTGGTGGTATAGACCATGGTCACTGTGAGGACGCTCTCGACATTTGCATTTGTTGAGCTTTGTTCTAGGGAAGAATCAGAAGACGTTATAGTCGAGCTTGACTCAGATGAAGAATATGAAGAGGATGTTGTTGACGAGGAAGAAGCCGACGATGATGATGACGATGAAGATGACGTTGACGACGTTGACGACGTTGACGACGTTGATGACGTTGATGACGTTGAAGATGTCGAGCTTGGTGGCTCCTCAGATGACGAAGGTGATAAGGACGATTCAGTTGAGCTGAAGCTGGCACTGGTAACGGTCTCCTCAGACGACGACAACGTCGACGACGGCAACAAAGAGCTCGTCTCCGAAGTGGAAGAAGGTAGTATCGAATCTGACGAATTCTCGAAAGACGAGGAGGACACGATGGCGTCCGATGCCGGAACAACGTCCTCGAATGACGACGACTCCGATGATGAAGACAACGAAAACGGGTCAAAGGACGAGCTGAAGTCGACACCAACGTCGCTGGAACCCCCGTCGCTCGTGGAGTCACCACCAACGTCAGTGGAGTTGTTGGACGAGGTCGTCACAGCTTCCTGTGCCCTTGTACAGTGGGCAATGACCGTGAGAAGAAGCCAATGGTGTACCAGCATGGGTATTGGTTGTTTTATAGAGGAATGCGACCGAGGAATCAACGCTACCGGGCGACACACAGACAAACACTCACAAAAGCTCAGAAGACGTCACAGATCAAGGGATCTTAAACCGATTCCACACTGATTTCAAGAGCTTTGAGACTCTCAAACAGATCAAAAGAGACAAAAGTTATTTAATACCCTGAAGCCATAGAGGAAAAATTAGCGTTTTAGAATTCAACGGCGCGTCACGCCTGAGAACTCTAATCTTATTTTTCGGGGGTCTGTGGTGGCTGTTTCTATTTTTAGCGCACACCCAGACACCAGTTGGTGAACTACGGCACGTGATTGGGCACGTGAGTATTACATAAGCTAGCTTACGTAATACACATTTTTTTTTCCATCTCCGGAGCCCACTCGCTCTCACTTTCAACGATCTTTGAACAAAAACCTCCCACCATGCCTTCTCCGCCTGGCACTCAGCTCCTTCCAGCTTGCTAAGCACACAGTTACCAATCAGCGATGTCCCTCAGTCCTCAAGCTCTACAGAACTTGGACGAATCGTCAAAGCAGGAGATCCTCAGCTTCATCGAGGCCGAGAACTCGAAGACCAAAGTCCAGACCTCTATCCACAGCTTCACCGATAGATGTTTCAAGAAGTGCGTTGAAAGCGTTGGAAACGGGCAGTTGAGCAACCAGGAGGAGACCTGCTTGGCCAACTGCGTCAATAGATTCCTGGATACAAACATTAAGATCGTTCAAGGCCTTCAAGCTGCCCAGCAGCAATGAGGATGAGTGTTCTGTACATACAAGAGAGAGAGAGAGTATGTGGGTATTATGTATATACAAGAGAGAGTATGTGCACTGTAAATATACACCAACGTATTATTCTTATTCTTCGAAGATAGTGGCGAGGGCGAGCGTTGTTCCCTCATTGAGAATAAACCTGCTCCAAGTAGACGTATAAATCAGCTATATAGTCATCAACGCTTTTCAGCTCCTGCTCGTCGTTCTTGTTCCACATTGGAGCCCAGGCTTCAACGCCGTTCTCCAAAGTGAAGAAGAACTTGTCGTCGTCATAGTTAAGCATCGTATGGCACTCCTTCGATATCGAGCGTAGCACCCTTGTGGTCTCGTGGTTGCCCTGTATACCGTTAACCTTCATCTCCGTGATTAGAGAGTTCACTTTGGCGATGGACTTGAAGGAGTCCCAGTAGAGCTGGAGCATCTGGTTGTAGACCCCAATGACACACAGGAAGATAAACGTCTTCAGAGACTGCTCCTTCGACAGCTCAAAGAGCGAGATGGCAACGTCAGGCGACCTGAACTTATCCTTCAATATGGAGATGCATTTGATCAGCAGGTAGGGCATGGTGAACTCGTTACAAAGCGGTGATAATGGCTCACCATTGGACTGTAATGCCACCTTGGACAGCAGCTCCTGGTTAAACTTCAGCTGTCCATTGATCTTCGAGTCCATGGACTTGATCAACGGCTCCATGAACTCATACACCTCCAAGTCGTTCTCCATGGCATCTATGGCCTTTAACGTCTCGTTCAGAGAGTGCGACAGCTTCTTCAACCGTTCACCATCCTCCCTCTGCGTCATCAGGCTTTTCTTCAGAAACACATTGGCACTTAGCTCTCCAGTTCTCACCAGCTTCGGCTGTACCTCGCTGTGTTTCAGCCTATCCATGCTGGCAAACGTCTTCTCAAACAACAGCCCGTCAGTCTTCTCCTTGGAATGCTTGGAGCGATCCATAATCTTGTTGAAGATGTTGGTGAAGTTCTCCTCGTCTTCTTTCGAGGACATCACATTATCCTTCTTGGAAGCATTGAAAGAGCTGAGCCTGATACCTCGGCCCTTCAGCCTCAGCACCCTTGTGCTTATGTTAGTGTTGAGCATTGTATTGATCCTCTAGAGAACATTCTCTGACAGAGTGAGGACGAGACAGAATGTCCGATGAGCTCTGCGTTTTTCTCCCCCGGCAAGCTCTCGAAGCGTGCATTTTTTTTCACTCCTCTTCTCGTAACATCTTTGACGGAGAAGCACACCAATTAGATGTACTTTTGGACTCTTTGGCTCGTCGTATTGTCCATTTGGTACTGTTCAATGTCTTCAAACACCGGGTCGTTTGCGTCAAGATGTGAGGATTCGTTTGAGAGAGTTAGAGCGTTCTTGGAGCTGCCCGAGACGACCGAGCTGGTAGTACGGACACAGCGAAGAGTTGTTGAGAGCATGGGCATATTTGACGAGATGCTGGACAAGTACAGGTGAGTGTAGCATTGGCACAGGGAGGTGGAGCGTGCGTTACTAACGGAAAGGAAGGCTGGACGAGGTTTCGCTCTCGTACAACGGTGGTAAGGACTGTCTTGTGATGCTGGTGATATACATGGCGTTGCTGTACAAGAAGCTGAGCAGGGAAGAGCTCGACTCGATCGACAGGCTGAACACGGTGCTGGTGAACTACGAGCACTACTTCCCGGAGCTGACTGCCTTCATCGAGTCGTCGTCGCAGACGTACGGGCTGAACCTGGAGCAATACAACGATACGATGAAACACGGCTTCCAACGGTACCTGGAGCAGCATGGCAACGTCAAGGCCATCGTGGTGGGCACTCGCCGCACGGACCCATACGGGTCCTCGCTGGCACCGTTCCAGCCGACAGACAGCGGGTGGCCTTCCTTCATGAGAGTGCACCCTGTTCTGAACTGGCAATACGACGAGATTTGGTGCTTTCTCAGGCTCGCCAACGTTCCATACTGCTCGCTGTACGACATGGGCTATACCTCGTTAGGAGGTGTTGATACAACGGTGAAGAACCCCTGGCTCAAGACAGACGGTGGCGAGTACCGGCCAGCGTACGAGCTGGCCAACGGAGACGAGAGAGAGAGGGACGGACGGTTGCAACCGTCCCAGTAGCTGCCCATTGTATAGAAGCTTGATGTATATATATAATCCCCATGATGGTTATGAAGCCCGTGTGTTTGCACGAATATCTCCGGATTAGGCAATTCGTATAGTTTTCGCAATGGAATTTAGAGCGCCCGCGACCGAGAGCGACAAAAATCAGCGCAAACGGGGAAAAACCGACAAAACAGCACCAAAACGGAAAAAAACCGACAAAACAGCACCAAAACGGAAAAAAACCGCTGAAAACACGACAGCGAAAGAAAAAACCACAAAAGAACACCGGCCTCCCTTTCGCTTCAACGGTTTCAACATCAACAACAACAACGGCTTTCGCAAAGCAAATACACACCGCCAATCAGCGTAGATAGGAAACGAAAATGTGGATGCTAAACTGGTGTAAGTGCCTATTTGAGCTCTCTCTGTTTCAGGCTCGACAGCGTTCGGATCGGATGACTAACACGGCGACACAGTCCAGGACATTCTTGCCTCTTTAGGCCTATGGAACAAGCACGCTAAGCTGCTCTTCTTGGGGTTGGACAACGCCGGTAAGACCACGTTGCTTCACATGTTGAAGAACGACCGCTTGGCCACTTTGCAGCCAACTCTACACCCAACGTCGGAGGAATTGTCCATAGGCACGGTGCGTTTCACGACGTTTGACCTCGGTGGACATTTACAGGCACGTAGAGTGTGGAAGGACTACTTCCCGGAGGTGAACGGCATCGTGTTCCTCGTTGATGCTGCTGATCCTCAGAGATTCGAGGAGTCCAAGGCGGAGTTGGATGCCCTTCTGCAAATAGACGAGTTGAAGAGCGTTCCATTCTTGATCTTGGGTAACAAGATCGACTCTCCAAGAGCCGTTGGTGAAAATGAGGTGAGATCGGCCCTTGGATTGTATGGAACCACCGGCAAGAACGGTGGCCAGGTCACGGGCAGACCAATCGAGTTGTTCATGTGCTCTGTTGTCATGAGACAGGGCTACGGAGAGGCCTTCAGATGGTTGTCTCAGTACATTTGAGCCTCTTTAGCTAATAGGTATATATTTTCACGTGTATACACACAGTTCTTTCTTTTACTGGCTAGTTACGTGCTCTCTTGGACGATGATCCTTCGCTGGATCCAGAGGATCTCTTCTTCCCCTCCCGTGCAAAGTAGTCCTTCTTTCTCTCCTTCTCCTTCTCGGTACGCATCTCGGCTTCCTTGGCCAGCTTCTTCAACTTCTCCTTACGTTTAACATCCTTCGTCTCTCTCTTCTTTTCCTCCTTCGCCCTAGCAATGGTTCCTAACTTTTGCATCAATGCCCTGGCTTTCTTCTCCTCTCCTTGAAGAACAACAGCACGCTTTTGCATATACGTCTTCTTCTTTTGAGGCTTCATCTCGTGGATTTGAGACTTGAATGGTAAATCTGCTTTGATGCTCTTTGGAACCTTTAGACCGTTGAAATGTCTCTCTTCTCTTTCCACCTTCTTGTAGAGAGAATCTGTCGAGTTCTTCAGCTCAATACCAGCTGCTGCCCTAATAGCACCTGTAAGACGCATACCTTTCCATTCTCCATGGTCACTTAGAAGATGGGACGAAACAGGGTTGTAGAACTTCTTAGGCTGGACAGGATACCAGGTTCTCAGTATCACGATATCACTCATCAGAATCTTGTCTTCAAACGTCGCTCTGAAGTGGCCTTCTGGCTTACTCAATGCCCTCTTAATCTCACCACGGATACCACTCACCGTCTTGATCTGTGCTCCTTCAAATCTTGCGACTTCAAATGAAGAGGTGAACATGTCCTTGATAAATGCAGTGTTTCTGAAGATCTTGTAAGGATAGCCTACAAGTTTCAGCTTCTTGACAATTTCAACAGAAGTGTCAATCTCTTCGACGATACCAGTCACTGCGATTCTGAACGAGCCAGTGGTATCACTGTTAGCAACGATTTGAGATCCACAGAATGTTGTGTTTGGCGCAACTAGAGGCCCATAGAATGTGGCATTACAGTACGCATGCTCTGGTGTATACTTCAACATTCTGCATCTCGTTCTAGAGTCCGAGGTGGTATAGATAGGAAGCGTTTGGAATCTTCTCCATCCCAGTGATAAGATCAATGGATCGTTCGATTTCAAAATCTTCTTGTGCCATCTATGTCTTCTGATTCTGACGTTCATGAAGCCGAATCTCTCTTCAGAGGAAAGTAGTCCACCGAGAATCAGAGGATATTTGGCATCAAAGTTCTCGATAAACTCAGGTGGAACGTTGTCGAAAACCAACTTAACATAAGAACCGGCTCTGTAGCCTTCAATTCTAATACGTTGTTCCTGGTCCATAGATTCGAATTCTGCTTTGTTGATCTCCAATTGTTTGCTCATCTTGGCCTTCTGCATCTCGTACCAGGTTTCCTCTTCAGTCATGGCCTGGTCCTCTTTGAAATTATGGCCCTCTTCTTCCTCGAATTGTAGACGAAGTTTTTCCTTCTTCTTAGCGTTTAAAGAACGACGCTCTTCGAGGGATAAAGTTGGGTCGAATGCCTCTTCCTCCTCATCTTCTTCAGAATCGTCTTGTTCATCAATGACCTCATCCTTCTCCTCTTCAGCATCAAAATCAGGGAAATCATCATCATTCTCCTGCTTATCGTTGTTCTCAGATGCACCAGTTGCCTCTAAATCTTCAAAATCACCATATAGCTCTTCATCGTCATCGCCATCACCTTCATTAAGGATCTTCTTTGTAGAGGTTAGGAATCTGGATTTCAGAGAGTCAATAGAATCACCATCCCATTTGGCCTTCAACTCTTCAACCGGGGCATATTTCGGCAGGGAACAATCCAAATCCTCAACTTGCTTGGTTGTTCCTTCGCTTTTCTTCTTGAAGAAATCGTCATCATCCTCGTCTTCAATGTTTTCTTCAGATTCAGAATTGGACTCGTCATCTTCAGCCTCTTCTTGTTTCCAACGACGCACAACGTCTGCTGGATCAATATTGTTCATATAGATCAATTTACCAATATCCCATTTTCTCTTGATGGTGCCTTGTAATTTAGAAGCAGAGAGTTGCCAATCGTTTTCTTCATCGCTTAAGGTTGTAGCCTCTTCCAAGTCATAATCAACGTTGGAATTATCACCAAAGTCCACTTCAACAAGACGGCGTCTAGCATCTTCCCCTTCATCTTCATCAAAGTTATCCTCATCATCAGAATCAAGCTCATCGTCGTCAACTGCATCAGATTGGCTCTTGTAGACTCTGGCCCTTCTCATCGTGGTTCTACCTGTATCAACAACTTCCTCGTCTTCATCCTCCTCATCGTCATCATTCTCACTTTCTTCCTCCACTTTGTTCAGCTTCTTACCACTAGAAAACAGTTGTAAGCCTGGTCCTTCCTGAAATTGTTCATCAATGGTCTTGCCCACACCTTGCAACGAAGTAACCAGTTTCTCACCAACACCTTTCTCTTCACCTGGGTTGAAAGAAGCCTCACCGATATCAATATACACAGCATCCTTATCGACGAGAACACCACCAACATCAGACATTGGTGCATAAATGATCTTTTGTTTATCATCAAGACGTTTTCTTCTTCTAGTAGTCTTTGCAATCTGTTCACCGTTAGCTGCGGCCTCTTTAGCCCTTTCCCTTTCCAAGTCTTCCAATCTTTGTTCAAAATAAGGTGTTGGACAAGGATCTGGTAATTTTTCGATATTAGAAACAGTGTAATCACCAACTCCTGCGATGTGAACCCTAGCATTTGAAGAAGCCAATGGTGTTCCATGGAGATAACCATAGATGGCAACTTTTCTATCCACTTTAGGGTTCTTCTCAATCAATGTTGGGTGCGTCAGGTCGGTGATTCTGTCAGCAAGGAGATACGGATGTTCATTTCTCCATTTTAGGGGTCTGAACTTCATAACTGAAATGAACCTGGTCAAGTTAAGGATCTCACGATCTGGGTATCTACCGTTAATGACACCGGAAAGGTAGAATAACTTGGCACCTTGGTACACTTCTGTCCAGAATCTATGCTTGAGTCTCTTCTTCGAGGTTCTCAGAGTGGACTGACTCTTGAACAAGTCCAGATGTGTGGTGACACCTATGACACGGGGCATACCGTGATGCTGTGCAACGTTCAAGAACTCCATAGTTTCCATCTCCAATCCAAAGTTACCATCGACAAGCAGCAGCACCAAATCAGCAACCTTGGCCGCATCAACCATCGAGTTTAAATCATTGGCTACTTCAATAAACGTCAAACGACGGTGCTTACCACTGACAACGGTAATTGGGCCTTTAATTTCACTTAGCGTATGCTTTGTCAGTCTTCTCACCAATGAGCGTATCAGTGTTGTCTTACCGGTACCCGGAGGTCCCACAACGGCAACGATAACAGGTGGAGGATCATCATCTGGAGTTCTATCAACCATAGGAACGTGCAGTTTCTTCTCATTAAGATCAGAGGATCTCTTTGCCATTCTCTGGAGCTTCCCAGGAGCATTGACCGCAAAGGCCTTTGCGTTATGGCCCTGGGAATGGAGCTTCTTCTTAGCTGTCGACTTGTTAGAGTCAGCTCTGTGTGGCTTATTAGACTGCTCCATAATTCCCTTAGCTATTAATCTAAAACAAACCCATAAAATGTATGAGTATTAATCATAAAAAGTAGACTCCCAACACCAAGCAAAAAAAATTTGTAGCGAGAATGAAAAATTTCAGCACTAGCCACACAATTTTCCCAAAATGGAAGTAGGAGATGAGCTCACTTGCCACATGATTCGCGGATCACTAAAGAGGCAATTAATGTGGCTAATGAAGAATAAAGAAGAAAATCAACAATTGGAAACCACAAAAACGAAAAAAAACAACAACAAAAACATCAACATCAACTTCTGACAAAACAATAACAAACACACACTGATTTTAAGAGCGCTAAAGAAATAGGATAGGGCGGATAAACAGAAAGATTCTCACCAGCAAAATCTCACGAACTGTCTTATTTTGAGTGAAGAAAGAACGATTTTGGAAAGAAGACGTGTAAACAATGGTGAGTAGTGATGTTTGCCGCGCGGTTTAACCTGTCTAAGCATGATGAAGTTCAATACTAACGATTGTGTAGGTGCTGTTCAAGAGAAAGCCGGTGCCATTTCCGGAGCCACTGCCGTTGCCCGAGGATACCAATGTGAGATGTTGGTACATTCCGTACACGAAAGAATGGTTCCTTAATTATGATGATTACTTGAGGAGACTCGATTACTACAAGACGCGCAAATTTGTGTGTGAAATCACTGGTAATTCGTGCCTGACTTTCTTCGAGGCTTATGAGAGTGAGGTGAAGGAGATCTCACTTGTTGAGAATAGCTTCCCGGAGCATCTGAAAGAGCCGATTCTTAGACACATCCAGTTCAGTACCGTTCCAAGGATAGACCAACTCGTGGATGAGGTTTACGCAACTTTTAAGAAAGATTACTACCCTGGTGAAACAGTGATGGTAAGGCTCAACGACTACAGAAACGATTACAAGACTCGGTGTGTTATTAGGGAGAAGGCACAGTTCAATGCGATATACGATGCTGATAACAACGTCCAACGGCCTGCGTATTCCCAATATAGGGTTGCTCGGGTCGATAACGGCAGCGAAGTTGTTGTTGATGAGGCACAGATCACAAGAGATAGGAATAACTTCACAAAATGGTTTGTAAAGACTTTCATAAAGCTGAGTGTTACAAGATCACCAAAGATTGGAGCTCCATGGATCGTAAAGAAGAAGTATGCAGAGAAGTACCGAATTCCAACAGATTTACCACCACATTTGGCGTACTTCAAAGACCAGGAGATGAAGCCGAAGGCGAACAAGAAATTACAAAATATTAAACCAAAAACTGAAACTGGGAACATGAAGACTTCGAAAAAGACAACTCCAGAAGTGAAACGGAATGGTTCCAAGAATGTTCCACTTTTGCCAAAAGGGAATACATCAGTACAGAAAAAACAGCAGAAACTAAAGCAACAATCTCCATCAACAACATCAACAGCACCCCTACCTCCTGTAACCTCAACACCGGCGACACCTGTACCGCCGCCACCACCGCCAGCACCAAAGAGGACTGTGAAGGAAGATCTTGAGAATCCATTTGAATTGGCAGTGCATAAGCCAATACCACATAGATTGGACGATTTAGGCGATTATGTTCCAGACGCTTTAGAGAGTTGGGCTTTCTTGAATGTCTATAGGGACCCATTGGTGCTGGACAACTTTACATTTGACGATTTCCTCACTGCCATGAGGTGGACTTCACGTGATAAATGTGCTTTGTTGGATGAAATTTTTTGTGCTGTGCTATCTATTTTCGCACAACCTAATGCTAAAGAGTTAGAAAATTTCATTCCAGAAGATATTGATGAATATGATACCAGCGAGAAAGATGATATCATGAGGGAGAAAAATTCCAACAAGATTAGTGATGATAAGGTATCAAAGTGGGGAAATGGTAAAACTGACGCTGAACAAGAGACAGAACACGCACAAGAAAAAGAGGATGATGAAACGAAGGATGTGAAAGCAGAAAAAATTCATGAACCTTCTAGCGATGCTGATATGTTGATTGACGAAGAAGATGAGGACAATAATTCGGAGATAGTATTTTCAGACAGAGTGGATGAATACACTACCTATCGTAACCAATCGTACATTGAACGTTTAGGTAAACGTATGTTCAAAGATGGTGGTTGGCAAATTATACTACTGGGCATCTTAGACGAGGTTCGTCATTACAAAGAATGGCAACTGGACATCAGTACCATTTTCTCAGAACTCGCCCCTAAAAATGCTGGAGTATCTGTCAGTGGATTGTTGAACCGCTTCTTAGAGATGGAACCGGGTCTTAGGGTACGTGCTCTTAACATCCTTTGTTCTTTGGTGGTGAACGCACCTGTAATCAGACAGTTTATTGATAAGTGCATGGAAGATGCGACATCTTTGAGAAGGGAGAGACTAGAAAAGATCAGAGAGTACAAGACCTGTTACGAAAAAGCACAAGATATCGATAAAGACCTTCGGGCAATCTATGAATCTTCTAATTCTACAGCAAACGATCCGAACGTCGATCAACCACAAAATGTGGAGCAAGAGACAAGAAAGAGGCGCCGTCGGGGTGGTATCAAGGTTGAACCAACGGATGTTGAGCTCAAGTTTGCACAGGAAAATGAACAGTATGCTTCCATATTGGCTCAAAGAACAGCACAGCTGAAGATTGGAGAGGAAATTCGTGCTCAGAGAAGAAAACTCGAAAGACAAATAGTGGAGATTGACGTCCAGAGAATCAAATATTTGGGCAAAGATCGCTTATTTAATAGATATTGGTGGTTTGAGAACAATGGGTTGCCAAACCTCGGTGGTGGTAAGCGATCTGATGAGGATGATGAGGAGGTTGATGAGGAAGATGAAAACGATGATGATGAAGAGGATGAAATTTATAACGAGACTTACTTGATGGGAAGACTTTGGGTTCAAGGCCCCACTGATCATGATGTTTTGAATTTCCTCAATTTGAAAAATGATATGATCATGTCTTGGAGACGTTTAACTGAGGAAGAAGAAGAAGAAGATGATGATGAAAAAGGTGAAAAGGATGGCGAAGAAAAACCACAGAAAGGAGAAAACAAAAAGGACAAGGGCGGAAATGAATCTAGAGATGAGAATGAAACCCAAGAAGAGATAAGACCACATATTCTTAAAGGGGTACCGAAGAAGTTTTCCAAAGACGCTGCCAGTATGTTCAACATCAATTTTGATTTGGAGGAGGAGAAAATCAAGTCTTTACCGGATGGCCATACTCTTGTTGATGAATATGGTGCCACAACAACTGGAATAAGCGCATTGCAGCGTAAAATCATTGAAGAGTGTCCAGATCCTCTACTGTCTAATACTGAATGGAGATATTACGATACTACTGAAGAGATTGAAAGACTGCTAAAATGGTTTGACCAATGGGGTCTGCGTGAATCCAAGTTGTTGAAAGAAATTACGTCCGTTAAGGATAAGATTCTTGCCAGTATCACTGCCCGTCGTAAAGCTTTGAAGTTAGACACCAAGTCCGAAGAAGAGATTGAACTGTTAAAGATCATCAACGAGACTCAAATCTCAGACACCGAACCTGAGTCTGAAGAAGAAGAGGAAGCCTTGTCTGTTGGTGATTCTGAGGATGATGATGATAAAGTCTCACTCGACGCTGAAACCGTCAGTGTACCTGAGATCAGACGTACGCGTCGTTCATTGGCACAGCTGGATAAACTTCAACAAGAACGGTTGAAAAAAATCGAGGCACAAAAAGCTGCAGAGGCTGAGCGTGAAGCTCGTAGGGAGCGCTCACGTCCTGCCAAGAGGGTAGCGCGTCGTGAGTTGAAAAAGCGTAAGATCAAAGAACATCAACAGAAACGTGAACTCATAGAAACAAGCAAAGAACAATTGGAGGCTCTGCGGGAGGATATGGAGATAGAGCGTTGCCAAGAGTGGGTGAACTCAAGTGCCCTAGAGAAACTAGGATATACCCACTACGAACAGCCAAAGAAGACAAGAGGTCGGAAGAAATGAGTCAAGTCTATGTGTATATCACGAGAAACGAACAATTATGTTGGAAGTGTACTATTGTATAATAATACAGAAACATTAAAGGTAAAAACACGGTATCATATATGATTCAATGCGAGTGGCACGTATATGAATGACGAGCTCATTGTTTTTTTATTTGTTTTAAAAGTGGAGGCTGAACTCAAGCAGAGCTCCGTCTTAGTGTTACACACAGGTATATCCTATGGACCTCACCTGACTTTCAAATTTCTACTATACTGAACAATGTGGTCCCTCGCCTCTATCACCTTTTAAAGGATTTGTAAAGCCAGATGAATGAACATTAAACGGCAAGTGTATCAAACCACGAAAACACGAAAATCTGACGCGCGCGCGTGTGTGCGTTTTTGGTAGAGATTTACCATTTTGGGAAAACGCGGAAACGCGCAAATTCTGATCCAAGTTTTTTTTTCAATTTCCCTTTTCGGAAAATTAAGTTTATGCATTACGTGCGCGTCTCAAAGAAAGTGTTAAAGATCAAAAAATTTGGCATAAGAACACATTTAATACCTTTCCTTATTTCTTTCTTCTGTGTAACTTGTTTGTGTGTGTTTACTGCTTTGATCATTACAATGACCTCGTCTTACGCTGAAAGTACATCAATGGTTCCTAAACAGCTTGAGGATCTCCAGAACCTGCTTAGTTCCCATGACTGTAAGAGACCTATCGCAGAAGATGGTGATGCACACAGTTCACTCACGAAGAAGAGGAGATTACGATCCGACACCTTCAACACCCCAGAGACCACCCCAATTCATAAGGGCTCCAAGATCTCCGTGATATCACCTGCTTCTGCTGACCAGAAAGGTGTTAAGAAGCTGGACTTCACTGAGCACGTCCAGATTAAGAAGGAAGCCAGCCACGTGAAGGTTGAAGAACAACTCACAGTTGAAATCCCCACACCTCCAGTCACTCCACAGAAAGACGAGGAGAACAAGGAGAACGTTGTTCCTACGTCCAAGCCGCAGTCGATCTACCTACGTGCTAAGGCAACTTTCCAGCGCTCTTCACCTGTGAAGTTCTCATCTGTTCTACCAGAGAGAAACGTAGAAGCAAATGCATTGAAGAATTTTTTCATGTCACACATCAAAGAAGGGCAGGCATCATCTTTGTACGTCTCTGGGCCCCCAGGTACCGGGAAGACAGCCCAGCTCAACTTGACTCTGAGCGAATTCATCGATATGGAATCCACTGAAAAGCTACAACAAGTAGAGATTGATGGGAAGGACTACACTCTGGGATACTCGTATATCAACTGTATGACAGTATCAAAGACCAGCAATATCTACAGTGAAATATACACGGCCTTAACGGGAGAAAAGGTCCATATCAAGCAGTCTAGAGACCAGCTACAATCGTTCTTATCAAGTGACAAGGCTCATATGTCCATTATAATACTTGATGAATTAGATCAACTGCTGGGGAAGCAAAATGACGAAGTCTTCACCCTATTTTCATGGGCATTGAATTGCAACATTATTCTTGTCGGCATTTCCAATGCGCTAGATATGGTCGATAGACTGTTGCCGAGACTGAAGATGAATGGGCTCAGTCCGAATACTTTAGTGTTCATGCCATATACAGCAGATCAAATTGCAAGAATCATCAAAGCAAAGATTGAGACGATAGAAATGGAATCACATGAACTTGGATTCGAACTATTCCATCCTGCTGCTATTCAATTATGTGCAAGAAAGAGTGCTTCAAACACAGGTGACTTGAGAAAGGCTTTCGATATATGCCGTTGTGCCATTGAGCTTGTCGAGAGGGAGACACGGGGCTTAAACATCCTCAAAGATAGAGGTGATAAGCAGTTACAGAGTGTCAAAATCCAACACATTGCTAGAGTTATAAACACCGTGTTTAATACGAACCAAATGAGCAAACTAAGGGAATTGAACTTGCAACAGAAACTACTCGTTTGTCTCTTAATTAAAGCTGAAGGTGCAAATCCATTCCAGACTTTAACCATGAATGCCTTCTATGAATACTATATCAAAAACGGCAAAGTTGATAACCTCGTTGGTTTACTGAAGAAAGCAGAGTTCCTGGAAGCATTGAGCAGTTTGGAAGCGAACTCAGTGGTCAGGGTAAACAAGAGTCCAAGGGCATTCAGTGAGTCTAAGATCTCCAGTTCAGTGGTGAAAAAAGACCTCGCAAGTGTCATTAAGGGTATCTATATATTGGAGAAGTTGATGGCAGATTCTGAATTGTTAGCCAATTGAGTTAATAATAGTAATGATAAACAAATATGTGTTATACGATCCAGATATTCTCAAATAGTCATTGGTCCAACTAAAATGGTTTCATAGCCATTGCTTCTTGTATAACTGTTCAAATCAACAACCTTCTCCGCAAGTAACATGTCGTCTTCGTTGATATGCTCTGCGATTGGTAAATCACCGAGTCCCTCTTTCAATTCTCTAACCATGGTGGCATGTATAGCATCTGTACGGAAAGTCTGTAAATCTTCATCCAGTTTGTGGAAGCAGTCAATTATCCATTGTGGTGGTTGGAACTCTTCAGAGGGTATTTTCACTAGTAATAAAACCCACAATGAGAGGTATGCCTGGTACTCATGAGATGCTTCAGCTTCTTCCACGGTGTTGAAGCCCAACTGTGCCAATGCTTCCCTGAACGGACTATGTTTCTTATAGATCTTCTTAATGTTCCATATTTGCGACTTCCAGTCTTGTAGCAACTTCTTCTCTTGAGATTTAATCTCGGCACTGCATGATTTGAGCAATTCCTTCTGTCCTGATATATATATCTTTGAACAAATGACAATATCATTTGCTGATGATACAGTAGCCTTTGGTTTCTTCTTTAACAATGCAAGCTTACTATCAATAGCGTTCCTCAAAGCTTGTAGTGCTTGTAGCCTCGAACGGATAGTGAACTGATGTTCAAGCTCATTTAGTGTCATTGCCGTAAAGAAGTCCAATAGTGGATCTGGAACTAACTGGGATCTGTTTATGAAGTATAGCAACCCTTCTTGAATGAAGCTTTCCAAATCAGTTGTGGAGACCGGAGTCATCGCGGTGTCAAATGCATGATATGTGTAGTCATCGATGGTTGGTAGATGGATATGTAACTTTTGTGCAAGTGCTAACTGTTTCAAGTTCACAGGCAATCTCAATGCCACCGAGTCATTTGGATTTTCAGGTATTACGAATCCATAGCCCATAAGTAACTCTTCATTACCCTTAGCACCATAGTTATTGAAGACTTCTTTACCAGCTTCCAGGGGACCCAATAGTTGCAAAGAGAAGTACCCTCTTGAAGCAGCCGTTTCATAAGACCAGTTGACCCTCGCAGAGGTGTCATGGTTCAGCAAATCGATCACTGGTAGAAGCATGGCTTGTCCATCCTTTACCTCACTGTTGATGATCTTGTTTGGGAATGCCCTAGACGTAAAGATGATAGTGGACCAAAGGTAAGCACCAAAACTGGTCCATGAATCCTGAGACAGCAGTTCATCAATCAATTCATCACGAGAACACGAGAACACTTTGTTATAGAAATGCAGATCAAGGTGATATTGTTCATCTTGGAAACTCTCTGGCAAGTTAGTGACAATGGCAAACCATTCCTCGACAACTGCACGGAACTTAGCAGGCAAGGATCCACCGAGATTGGAGTTTTGAAACAGCGAAAGCTCATCGTCATACCAATAGTATGGCGATCTTGTAGATCTACCAGTTGGCAGCAGTTTGATATAATGAGAGAAGAAGTCATTGAGAATGACTTCTTTATAACGAGTTGGCGATTTGTCGTATTTCAACTTACACAGAAGAAGCTTCACGCCGCCATTTTGTATTCTATCTGTTGATAGCTCGCACCCAAACACACCAACAGCCATACTACCGTCCATAATCAGTTCCAAGGGGATCTTCAGCCCGCAAGAGGATGAAGATGATGTTGAGACAGCATACACTCCTCTATCTTCAGAGTACTTAAACTGTAGGTTTTCGTCAATTTCAGCGCCATGAGACGTTGCCCAATCGAGCAGTGCACTGATTGCGTCACCAGACATTGCAACTGAAGGCTTGCTTTAGTATTTATATCCACTTCTTCACCGGTGTTGGAGAAGAAAGAATGAAAGAGAAAGACAAGAAAGCTGCAAAAAAGCAGAGCGATGAGCTTGGTGTCCGGATGTGAAATGGTGATTTGCGCAAATGTGTGCCATTTGCGTAAGCCCGTGCCATTTGCGCTTCCTTGTTTATGTTTCGCCTGTTTAGGAAACATCAACATCAAAACTTCGCCAAAAACCGAAACAACAACAAAAAATCAACAAAATACATACCAAAACACTGCCTTTTGTGCCCACAAGGTAAACAAAGCAAGCAAAGTAAAACCACACACCGCTGCAAACCTCAGGTACTGAAGCGGACAGCAGAGAAGAAGCTCGTTGCAATGGCATCTTCAAGACCAAGAAACCCACTCACAAAGATCCAATTGACGACGAATTCTCGGTTGAACAATGCTTCGAGTACTAGGCACTCAGCTTCGAAGCCACTTCCTTCGTATATGGCACCCACGATAGCTGCTTCTAACAACGTTGTGTCTCCAAGACGTGTTAGAAGAAGCTCACAGTCTGAGGACAGGGGGAGACGACACAGTGTTCGGAAGAGCAGTGCTGCGTTGAACATTCTCCGGGACTCAAGCGTTCCCTTGAGACATTACACTCTTGATGACTTTGAGATAGGCAAGAAGTTGGGGAAGGGCAAGTTTGGTAAGGTGTACTGTGTCAAGGACAAGAAGACAGGGTTTGTGTGTGCTTTGAAAGTGATGGAGAAGAAAGAGTTGATCGGCTACAAGATCGAGAAGCAGTTTAGAAGGGAGGTTGAGATACAGTCGAACCTCAGACATGAGAACGTGTTGAGGCTCTACGGCTACTTCCACGACGACCAAAGAGTGTACCTCATATTGGAGTACGTGATAGGCGGCGAGCTCTACAAAATGCTAAAGATGAAGAAGAGGTTTAACGATATCATGGCTTCGCACTACGTCTACCAGATGGCTGAGGCACTATCGTACTTGCACTCTAAAAACATCATACATAGGGATATCAAGCCCGAGAATATCCTATTGGGGTTCGATAACATCATCAAGATCAGTGACTTTGGCTGGAGTGTTCACTCACCATCGTCAAAGAGATCCACCATGTGCGGAACCCTCGATTACCTCCCACCTGAGATGGTTGAGGCTAGGGACCACGACTACAAAGTTGATGTGTGGGCTTTGGGTATATTGTGTTACGAGTTGCTTGTGGGACAACCCCCATTTGAAGAGGAACTCAGGGATACCACTTATAGAAGAATTGCGCGTGTTGATTTGAAGATTCCTGTCTTTGTTAGTGCCGATGCTTCAGACTTGATTAGAAAGTTATTACAATATGATCCTGAAAAGAGATATCCATTGGAAGAGGTTAAGAACCATCCATGGATAGTGAAGAATAGACCATTATGGCCGCAGAGACGTGTTACTGGTTAACCACGTTTAATGAGTTTGACTATGTACATTTTGGAGGGAGGGATTCCTCCCTAGCTTCATTAGCATATATGGTGTATTCGGTCAGTTGCGTGCACCTCTCTTCTTCATGAACTGTTTCACCCAATTCTTCGTCTTCTTATCAGTTATCAAGAATACTCTACCAGGCTGCCCCATTCTCCCAGTTCTACCAATTCTATGGAGCAAGTCCACTGGTGTGTTTGGACTATCGTACAGGATGACGTTTCTAACACCAAAGAAGTTCAGGCCTCTGGATGAAACATCTGATGTCACCAAGACCTTCATTCTCTTATACTCCTGATCATCGCCACCATCGTCTGGTAGGGTCTTCTTTATTTGAATGTTCGATCCAGGAATCGTTTCATATTCCACTTTAGTCTTGGCTTCATCCTTGTCCTTCAACAACTTTGGTGGGCTGACGAAATCGTGAATCAACTGTGCTCTTTCAGCAGGTGAATCATCACCAGTTAATGAGACAACATCGTGACCATAAGACTTCAACTTGTGTGTAACCTTTGAAACGTCTTGTTTGTTATTTACAAAGATAACCGATCTCTTCTCATAGTTCTGTTCTGTTCCATCTTTGTAGATAGCGTACATGATCTGAACCAGAGCTTTCATCTTGGAGCCTTGGTATGGTGCGATTTCGCAATCAACCATCTTGAATTGGATGTTCTTTGGTGCCTTGTGCATTCTTGGAGATATCAACAGTTCAGGTTCAGAGGTTGGAAAGATCTTTTGCAAGGCAACGTTATACTGGTTAGAAATAGTTGCAGAGCATAGGATCATCCTCGAGATATTAGGCATTCTCTTAAATGATGCATACGTATCTTCGATGAATGAACGATCCATCAGAGTATCAGCTTCATCGACAATAACGAATGTCGTTTGTTGTAATATATGTTCAGGCTTAGAAATCACTCGTATCTTTTCTAAAGTTTGTAGTTTCCCTGGCGTGGTGATCAAGATATCGATCCTGTCCTTAAACTGCTTAATGAACTCCTCGTGGCTTACACTGTAGTCCCATTTGGCACAGTGTAGTCCCAACGAATCTCTTAGAGGTGAAACAGTCTCATAAACCTGATTCGTCAACTCATGAGTCGGCACAAGGATCACAGAGCGCACCAGGGCCTTGTTCATTTTGGCTTCCCAGCTCGGAAGAGACTCTTGTTGCTTGAGATAGTCCACCAAAGGTGCCAAATATGCCCATGTCTTGCCTGAACCAGTCTCTGCTGCAACAGTATAGATCTTCATGTTGGGCTCCATCAGGTGCTTTGCAAGGTGATGTATCGTTATTGTCTGGATAGGGGACGGAGCAATCTCCAGCTGCTCGGGATCCTGGTTATGGATGCTATGTTTCTCATAGTTTTGAGCCCTCAGCACCGTCTGCTCCCTAATACTACCAACCACGGCTCTTCTAACATCAGGCTCCAATTTCAGCTCGTCAAAGCTCTTGATCTTCGACACAAGCGACTCGTTCCTTTTAAACTCACCGGAATCAAACGTCTCCAGCACTGGCAGCGTAGACTCACCCGACTTCTTACGCTCAGCGTGTTGAGCGCCCGCAACGGTCGGCTTCTTCTGTACGCTTCTCGGCCTCTGTCTCGTCTCAATGGGCTCAACAAGTCGCTTGAAGGGACTCTTCCTCTTCTGTTTGAGCACCACACAGCACGTTCTGAGCCCTCTAGTGCCGCTTTTCACGAAGGCAGGTGATGCTGATAGGGAGAACATGGATGTGAAGCTCTGTTGAAGCGTTTATCCCGAGCAATGAACCGAGATGAGAAGCGATGAGATGAGATGATGCGGACAGAAAGCGGTCCTCGGCAAGGAAGTTTTGCAGGTGGAGGAGATCAACACACCCGGACACCACACCCGGACACCACTGAGCGACTGCTTACATAATCACTACACCCGGACACTCACGAACCTTCCCGCCCGCTGCAAAACGTCCACCGACGCTTTTTCCGATCGCATCAACAAACAGGCCTCCAATACCAAACAACCAACACCTTGGAAAGCCCAGCTCGTCGAAACTTACAGTGTAAAGCGAAGGAGCAAGTGATGAGCTCACTAAACGAGTTGTTCAAGCAATTGGAAGTGGACTCTGCGAATGATCAACACGAGGAGGTTTTGGAAACAGCCTCGGAGATCTTGAAGACGAACCCACATGACAAGAGAGCATTGAAGCTGGTGGTTGTGTCTCTGATCAACCTGGACCGCTATTTGAAGGCGTTGAAGGTGCTGAAGACGACACAGGCGCCGGTGGATGAGCTGCTGCTGGAAAGACTGTACGTCTATTACAAGTTGAACCTGGACAGAGAGCTGGCGGAGGAATTCGAACGTTTGTCTGATGAGGTTTTGACGAAGAATAAGGGCCTGGTGCATCTGAAGGCGCAATTCCTGTATCGAACCGGGTCGTATGTCGAGGCCTTGGAGCTCTACGCATCTCTGATCGGCTCAACGTCCCAGGACGACCCGGAGATGCTGGATTTGAGCGTTAATGAGCGTGCAGTGCTGGCTGATGGGTTCCAGTCTGGCATCTTCAACAGATTTGTATCCAGATCTCCGGTCTCTCCAACGTCTCCAGAGTCCTATGACCTGCTATTCAACGAGTCAGTGATTCAGCTGGGCCTGGGAAACTTGAACAAGTCGTTGAGCCTATTGGACAGTGCGCTGGCCAAGTGTAAAGAGGCCAACACTGATCCCCAGGAGCAATTCGAAGAGACTTTGCCAATTATCTTACAAAAGGCGTACATCTTGAACCTTCAAGGCAAAAAGTCAGATGCCAGCGTCATCCTGGATGGCATTTCCCAGTCCTCGATATCCGATGAGTTGACGAAACTGACCTTCATCAACAACTCCATAGCGTCCAAGATTGGCGAGGACTCAAACTGGCTTCTAACATTGAAAGAGCTCGGATTCCCTAATTCCATTAACCAGTTGAGTGGAAGACTATCCATCGTACAGAAGGCCCAGATCTGGAAAAACTACTGGAAACTGGCTTCCAGAGTTGGACAAAGAGTCAACTCTAACATCTCAGTGGTTAGAGACACCGATTACACACTGCAAGCTATTGCATCACTGGTCAAAGCCGGTGTTATCATCGACAAGGACACTCCACAAGAACAGGCAAAGAGAATGACCAAATATGCCTTGGCTTCTGGTGACTTGGGTGCATCTTTACTGGCTGCTCAGTTGAACTCTGACGTTGGTAAAGGTGAAGTTGCATTGGCTGTGCTGAATAACCTGAAACTGGAGCGGAAACTGCTTCCTGGAGTCTCAAGCATCATTCTTCAGCTATGTGAGAAGACTGGCAGTGAGAAGAAGAAGCTGGCAACGTTCAAGGAGATTGTCGAGTATTACTCAGATGCTTCAAGACTTGACAATGTCAAAGTGTACGACTTTTTGAAAGTTACAGCTCTACAATTCGTCACGGTGGAGCCAGAACTGTCTAAAAAGTTGCTGGTGACTCTGAACAACTTCCACAAGGATGACCTGATCTCTATATCACTTGGTGAAGCCAGTGCGGGCCTATTGGAGCCTGTCGAACACTTGACACAAGGACTTGACTTGGAGGATCTTATACAAAGTGCCACTGCTGATCTGAACAAGATCAGTAAGAACAAACCAACCAATTTCAAAGTGTTCAAGACCCGTAAGAGACCAATGAGAAGACCACCAAAGAACTTGGACACGGCCAAACACCCAGACCCAGAGAGATGGCTCAAGTTGAGTGATAGATCCACTTATAAGCCAAAGGCTATAAAGGGCAAAAAGAACGCCACACAGGGTGGTACAGCAGACAACACCACTGAGGAGTCCATCTCCAAGAGCTCGAGACCGAGCCCAGCTCCTCAAAGGAAGAGCAAGAAGAAAGGTCGTAAGTGATGTGCTTACAAGTGATGTGCTTACAAGTGCGCTCCTCGTGTGTATAACGCACTCTCTTCTTTCTAATGTTCAGTTTCTTTGTATTGATAATACTCTATTTACAGATTAGATTATGTAGCATATGTCGAAGTTGTATGTACACCAAGCACCCACAGACTCTTCATAGGTGCATAGCTACCGATCTGATCAGCTCCAATGGGTTACCATTACCACTTATGACGTACTTTTGGTTTATCAACTGTTCGACGGTATTCTGTTCCAGTTCATCCTTTCTAAAGATCTGGGCCTCGACGTACTTCTCAACCAGCTTCGTCACGTTCTCCTTTGACAATTTGGCCAGCTCCAATGGCTTGACACCGGCTAGTCTTGAAGCCAGAGTGGCATCATACAGCTCTTTCTTCGTGTATGGGTCTGGTTTAACCAATCCCAGCCCAGCCTTAAGCGTGATGGTAGGCTTGTCGTCAGACGAGGTTGCCAGAATAACACCACCCTTTTGGAACGATTTCTCACCGCTGATGAAGTCCAACAAGGTCTTGGTCAGTTGCAACTCCTCGATGGCAATTGGCTTGTTCTCCACGTTACGGTACGCGGAGTTTGGAGAGCTGATGATGGAGCCAAAGTTGTCCACAGTGATGAACACGGGAGCGCTTTGTTGCAACAGCAACTCGTCAATCAAGATCTGAAGGACTTGGCCACGATGTCTGGCATCGATCTTACTCTTAACAAGGTCCAACAGGGTATTTTCAGTGGAGAACTTGGTGGCAGCCCTGGTCTTGGAAGCACCTTCGATGGTGTACTCCTTCGACAGCTTCAGCTTAGCCAAAGACTGCTTGTTGGCGTATTCGATCTTATCCAGCAGCGTCTTCAAGTACATTGGCTGAACGTACGTGCCCAGCTTGGCATCGAACCAGTAGTCATTGGAACCATCAACCAGCTTGACACCATAAGAGATTGGCAGCATCACAGCATCCGGGTTCTCCACAATCAGAGCCTGTGCCTGTGCCAACAGGGTGGACTTACCGATACCTCTCTCTCCCAGCAGACAGACCCTGTTCTCCTTGGAAGAGGTCTTGAAGGAGTTATGAACAAGAGCTTCAATCTGCTTCGTCTCATCTCTGACCAAAGTGATTGGGCTCGAGAACAACTCGTGGAACTGATCCTTCTTGAAGGCACCAACTTGCGAGAGCCTCTGCTTTTGCAGCTGAGTATACGTCACCACGGTGTTAGCCTCGATGTGGTGCTCCAACGCTGGCAGCACCAGCTGTGGAGCCTTCTTGTTGAACTGTCCAGCGTTCACATGGTCTTGAAACATTCTGAATGAGCCAGTGGTCTTTCTCTGTTTCTTACCATCGTTGTCCTTCTTGAAGCCCTTAGCAACGGCCTTTGGAGCAAGAGCAGTTGCGCTGGATGAGAAGGGTCTCACAGAACGAACAAACTGGGCTCTGAGCATTGCGCAAATCGGCTGATGATGGTCTGTTTCGTGGTGGAAAGAGGACTTTTGTAGTGTGTTTCCCGTTGAAGTTTTGCGTCGGCTTCGTGGAAAATTTCACAGCTTATATTTTCGAGGGTATGCATGTCACGTGAGTGGTCACATGATGTCCTCGGATTTCACAACTCTCTCACTTACTTATACACTCTCTATTAATGGGCTTCTATTATCGTCAATTGGCTCGTTTGGTTTATAAAAGTTGTACTAATAGACTAAGCAGCTGTGGATGTTACCTCCTCCTTTGGCTCGGAGGCCTGAGCCTCAGCGTTGGGTTGTTCATCTGTTTCAGCTTTAGCATTGGTCTCGGTGGTGGCAGCAGCTTCTGTAGACTCGGTAGTTTCAGGAGCCTTTGGAGCCTCTGGGAGGTCAACAGCTTCAGTGGTTCCAGCAGGCTGAGCCTTAACAGGCTCAGTGTTAACAGGCTCGGCCTTCGTGATGCCCTTTGCAGTGAGATACTCAAAGCCTTCGTTGGAATAGGCATCGACAAACTTGAAAAAGGCATTGAACACATTCTCGGAAACCTCTTCTGCGTAGATCTTATCGTAGATGTGCTTCATTTTGAACTCTTGCATCTCCTTCTCGTAGTTGTTGAAGTCAATTGGCTTGTATCCAAAGTCGTTCAGCCTTTGGTTATAACCTGAGTACACAGGTTGTTCCAACAACAGCCCTAGGGCTGGTGCCTTTGGGATGTTGATCTTGTCAGAGTCAAAGGCCTGTGTGATTCTCTCCAAAGGACATCCGGTTCTCACCACAAGCGAGGCCATGGCAATCATCTTTCTGATTTGATGAAGCATGAACGACTGGCCATGGATCTTCACAGAGACCCACTCTGTTTGATCAATGACAAAGGGATCAGATACCGAGATCTCCTTCATGAAACGACTTGCACTGGCATCCTTGAATCCCTTACCAATGGTGAAATTGTGGAAATTGTGGTGCCCGAGATACATAGACATGGCCTCTCTCATCATCTCCAACTTTTCAGTGGAGATTCTGTACTGACGCTTACAATTGGACTCAACGGCTTTGAATCTCTTCACCAACGCTGCAACGTCACCACTGTTCTCGTACTCTTCTTGAGAAGTTGGGTTGAAGTCCTTGATCTTTTGTAGCTCCTCCTCTGTGAAGTTGGCCTCTTTCACCTTCTCCTCGTATAAAGCCCAGAACTTGTCGCTTTCCTCGTCCTTTCTTGTAATACCAGGTGTCTTCTCGTCCTCCTCTGCTATTCTCTTTCCAAGATAGGAAGAAGGGTTTGGTGCGATGAGAGAGTAGGTTGGTAGCAGGTATTCGTAGATTCTCGAGCCACACATCTTTCTACAGTCAAATGCCTTATTGGTTCTTTCAATGCCCCAGATTCTAATGGTCTCTGGGAGCACATCGTTCAGCTTCTTCACCAGGTCTTCATCCTCCATGAGCTTTAGAGAGATGACATTGCCTGCAGCATGGACACCTTTATCAGTTCTTGCAGCCCTCATGAACCCCGACTTCTTCGGATCGTCAGCGTTGAACGGATGGATCGCACCAACCTTCACAAACGCTTGGAAGAGATCTCCCTCGATGGTCTTCTGTGGTGGATTCATTTGCATGCCATGGTACCCAGCACCGCAATACCCCAGCATCACGGCCAATTTCTTCTTTGGTCTCTTCGGAATCGGATTGCCTTCATCGTCTAAGGCAGGAGCCCTCTCCTGACGTTCCCAATTACTAGAAAGGAAGACATGTTAGTAACCACTTCAACAATCGATGCTCCAAAGAATAAACAAATCCTAGGACCTACCCACTCTTGTTTCTGTCTCTTGTTCCCCTTGCGGCCTTCAAAGTCCGCCTTTCTGGCCTTGGACCACTTGGAACGCTGTCCCCTTTGAAGAGCTTCAGCAGACTGTTCCTCAACAGCTTCAACATTCTCCGACATGGCTGAAAAGATGGTGTATTTGTCGAACAATTGAGGAGGGAAAACTGTGAAATAAATCTATGTCCTCATCGCCCGTTTTCTGTTGCGACGGGTACGTACGCGTCGAAGCACTGGAAAATTTTCTCGCGTGGATGTGGTGTGCGGGTGTGGGATGTGTGGATGTTTTGGTGTGCGGGTGTTTGGGTGTCCAGGTGTCTAGATGCCCAAATGTCCGGGTGTTCTCCCACCGTGTGAAATTTTTCAGTCTGCGATGCGATGAGCTCTTTGACCCTTTGGATCTCCATCTCTGCTTCGAAAGATCACCCCAATCCAGCTCTAAACCGGTGAATCCAAGATGAGACCTCTCACAGAAGAAGAAACCAAGGTTGTGTTTGAGAAACTGGCCTCATACATTGGCAGAAACATCGCGTATCTCGTGGATAACAAGGAGGATCCCCATGTCTTCAGACTGCAAAAGGACCGAGTATACTATGTCAGTGATAAAGTTGCCAAATTCGCCACCTCTGTTGAACGAGCCAAGCTGATGTCGCTTGGAATCTGTCTCGGTAAGTTCACCAAGTCAGGGAAATTCAAGATCCACGTGACTGCGGTGCCGGTGTTGTCCAAATACGCTAAGTACAAGATTTGGATCAAGCAGAATGGTGAGATGCCTTTCTTGTACGGTAACCATGTGCTCAAGGCCCACGTTGGTAGAATGTCAGACGATATCCCGGAGCATGCTGGTGTGATAGTGTATTCGATGTCGGATGTGCCATTGGGATTCGGTGTCAGTGCAAAGAGTGCGGTTGAGTCTAGAAACCTGCAACCAACTGCCATCGTGGCATTCAGACAAGCCGATATCGGTGAGTACTTGAGAGAGGAGGACACGCTCTTCACATAGGGCATGTGTGTGCTATGAGATTATAGTTAGTTCTGTATTTTAAAGAGAAGAGAGAGGATAATGTACATTAGCTATTTACACGATTCTGTATGTCATCATGATGTATTGGGTTCAATTTTCGTAACTGAGTTTGGATCTTTGGCTTGGGAGTAGCGATTCTGCTTCGTATTCCTTCTTTGCCCTTTCCAGCATCTCCTGTTCTTGTTCCTTGGTGAAATGGTTGACAATCTGATCAGGTGGCACGAATTTGAACTTACCCGTGGCAAAATCACGGTCGCTCATCTTCGAAAGCACGTAGAGCTGTTCTCTGACGTACTTCACCATCGCCTCCAGGTGTGAGAAGTCGATGTTGGTTCTCGCATTGAACAGGTTTCTCCACAGCGCACTCGCCAGCGTGGCATCATCCGTGGCAAAGCCTTCATCGTACGAGCACACGAGACCTCTCAGCTGGTCGTTGTAATCCTTCAGGTACTGGTCCGAGATCCGGGAGCTGTTGACGTTCATCTCGTCGTGCAGTCTCAGCTCCATGTCTCTAAAGAAACGGTCAATCAGCTTCTGCTGGTAGTTCTTCCCGTATTTGAAAGGCATCGCACGCATCCTAACACTCAGCATCCAGGTGTGCAAGGCAGTGATCTGAAACCACTGCGAAAACGTCCGTGGAAGGTGAAGGTCCTCGTAGAAGAACTTGGCAGTGTCACTCAGCTCCTCGTCCTGGAACTGCAGCCCGATTCTCTTACACTCAGCATAGTACACTGACCCTGCAATTGGACCAGCACGGATCCTATCCATGTCCAGCCTGAACACCGTGATCGCAACCTCACCAACAGCCTGCATCACCTTGGGAAGCTGGTAGCTCTCAGCCTCGTATTTGGAGTCCGACAGCATCGGTCTCTTCTGCTTAGGGTTCACAGGCGCCTTGTTCTCTGGCAGCTCGATCTTGATGGTGGAGCTCTGAGCAATGTCCTTTGGCGTGAGCGCCTCCAGCGCACGCAGTCTCGCTACGCTCGTGGAGAAACGGCACGCCTGTGACTGTGATCTGAGGGCCTGTCTGAACATCTTCGAACGGTTGTTGTCGGCTCAAACGGTCTTACGCCACCGTCAACTGTGTCCACTTCAATGTTTACCGAAAGAACGTGAAGATGGCGATGAGGCCGAGCTTCAAAAAATTTTCAGCTCCTTCGGGAAGCCTCTACGGGGAGGAAACTGACCAATCAGAGGCGCGGATTTCGTAAATTGAATGGAGGCGATATAGGCGGATTCGACGGGGGTTTGCGGGTGCCTGTGGCGATATTCTTGGTCCCTGACGGTGTGTCGAGCCAATTGACCGGTGATATGGAGGTTTTAGGGTGTATATACGCATTTGTCGAGCCCTTCTGTGCTGGAAGCTAGTGGTACTCGATAACGCACTCCAGCGTGGTGATGTTCTTCAGATTGTACAGTTCGTTGAGGAACTGCGCCTGGAAGGAGCCTGGTCCTTTGCTGTTCAGCGAGGCCCTTCTGCCACAGTGCTTGTAGGATGCCAGGGCATCGACAGTGCGGTGGAAGACCGTGTCGAGATCATCCAATGGGACATGGGCTACGTACGAGGCAACAACCCCAGACAACGAGCACCCAGTGCCCGTGATCCGTGTGAGCAGATGGTCGCCGCCGGTGACCGTGGCTGCGTGGCCATCTGGCGAACAAACAACGTCAACCTCGCCCGTGATCGCAGCGATACACCGGTACTTACTGCAGAACTGCTTCAGCAGCGCGATTAGCTCCAGGGGCTCTGTGAGCACCGTAGAATCGACACCACGCACCGTGGTCTCTTCCGATCCATCACTGCCCTCACACAGCTTGATCAGCGAGATGATCTCTCCAGCGTTACACTTCACGATGTTCGGCTTGTACTTCAGGAAGAGCTCTTTGTTCAGAGCTCTTCTGAAACCAGTGGCACCACATCCAACAGGATCAAACACAACGTGCTTGCCATTTGACTTGAACGTGTGTAGGGCAGTAGCATACATCGTATCTGAGACTTTAGGAGACCCTGTGTTGACGACGACGGCGGACCCTGGGATCAACGACAGGTCAGCGAACTCCGAGTCCTCGTACGACATGATTGGGCTTGCACCGATGGCCAGCGTCACGTTGGCACTGAAGTTCTGAACCACGGTGTTGGTCACGTGTAGGATCACTGGTGGCGACTCGTAGACCGATTGGATCACTTGTGGGATGTGTGTCTTGTACACAGCGTCCAAGTTGGAGCGCAACTGCTTCGAAGCCTCACCAGGATGAGCAGCCTGGGAGATACACGACACCACGGCAACACCATTGGTCTTGACGCCTTTGTATGACGACTGGATGATTGAAGGTGCACTGTTCTCGACACTCAGCCCGCCAATGATTACTGAGGGCAGCTCAATCTTGTGGTCCACGAGGTACTTGATGATCTTTTTCACTCCCTGGGGGCCTGTTGGCGCCTGCTTCAGCTTCTTCGTAGAGGTGTCGTACACAGCACCAATGCCAATGTAGTCAGCGCTTCCATCTTCCAATACAAACTTCAACTCGTCCAGATCGTGCACTGAGACTCCCAGAATCTTATCAGGCCCCAGCAGCCTGCGTGCTTCACATGGGATCATATCGTCAAAGCCAACATGGACACCCTCAGCTCCCATGGCCAGGCATACGTCAACTCTGTCGTTGATGATCAGTGGAATGCCGGCCTTCTGGGTGATCTCGTGGACCTCACGGGCCTTTGCGACTAAGGCTCCGGTGTCAAGGTGCTTCTCACGCAACTGGACAATCGTGGCGCCGTTGTCGACACACTGCTGTATGACGTCGATGTAGTTCTCATTCGTAGGGTCGGTCACGAAGTAGAACGAGTAGTCTACTGGATGCTTCACCATGTTTCCCCTGTCCTTGTGTTGGAGACCTGCTGTTGGGCAAAGGTGGAGGAAACAGGTGAAAGTATTGATCGGGTTTTATAAGGGCATAAACTGCTGCTCAAAAAGATGCCCTTTTGTAGACTTTTGCGCCAAATCTGAGACTGCTGTCAGGCCATGGAAAGGCATAGCAAAATGCCAGCAAAAGTGATCTGTGGCCGGAAAAATGTCCGATATGGTCAATTAAAGCTCTTCCCACTGGGGAAATTTTAAGAAGACTACAACGGACATTTGACAAGCTCCTGATCTCGCTCGTGTGGTCCACTATTAAGTCCGGAATGGACCAAACGTTGTCTTCACCATGGGCCCAGTGATCGATCATCCGCTCACCGCGCGCCGTTCCCGCAGCTGGAAGGCCGTGTGTCTTTACCACTTTGCTGTGGTCTTGGACCGTCGGACTCGATTTGCCGATTTATCACTGAATTATATCAGCTGTGATTAACTCTAACACTTTACAATGATCATACCCTTTTTGGGATGTGATAACAACATGAAGTATGAATCCTCAATATTCGAGTGTGTCTCTACAATGGTTTTAAAGGGGCTCCTTGAACTATTGTGCTTCTTCTTTATAACGTTCCTAGAACATAATCTTCATCTCTTATATTTCCGAATTATATTGTTATTAAGATTATTCTTATTGTCATTATCCTATCAACTATTTTACTAACCACACGGTGCGAATGGAACACTATACATCCTGCTATTAGTGAAGTATTTATTGGGACGTCGATCTAACTGGAAACATTAAGCTGAAACTCGAAGAGCGCATCATCAAGTGTCTTGTCGCATCTCAACTAGACACACACACAAGGATTGCGTTCATGCTCCTCTAAAATCACTACCTCTGTTCTGTCTCTAAGGAACACACAAAGGTATGATCATGAACGAGTGTAGATTCATCAACCAGAGACAATTGATCAAGTAGTTCCATCGCAAAGGATCCAGGGTTGGGTGTTTGGCCGTGTGCTCTCTCAATGCAATGTTCGTAGCATGCAACTGCACTTACTGTGTGTTCCAGAGCCTGGAGCATGTCACCACGTGGAATATCAGCAATGAAGGAAGCAATTACACTTGCCAACGCATCATCACATCCACTGACTTGAGCAGCTGCCGACCTTTCGGTGCTGATCTTGTAGGCCTTGTCTTGGAAGCATACTAGATTATCCACCCCGGTGAGCACCACAATACACCCAAACTCCTCTGTGAAGTGCTTCACAATGTTGTAGCACGCTAGGATATCATCACCTTCAGTGTATGTAGCCCCAAGTAGACACATGATCTCTTTGGTAGTACCCTTGACGACACTTGGAGGTGAAGATCTGAACAGCTCCTTGACTGAGCTTTCTCTGAAACTACTGATGTTGATTGCCTCTGGATCTAATACAACGTGCTTACCTGCTTCATTGTACACTTCCAGTGCCTTCTGGAGTGTAATGAAGCCCTCCCTAGCAGAAGTATTCAGCACCAGGGCACTCAGTGGCACTTTGACGAGATCTTCAAACTCGTCCTTCTCGGCAGCCATTATAGGACTTGCTCCTATGGCCAAGGTGACGTTTGCACAGAAATTCTGCACAGAGGTGTTTGTCAAGTGGTGAATCATTGGATTCTTGTCCCTAATTGTTCTCAGCTTGGCCAACGATGGCTGGATGCCATTCTTCAGGATCCTGTCAACTCTGTCCCTGATATCTCGTGCAACTCTTCCCGGAGTTGGAGAGGCCATGATACAGGAAACCACTGCAACACCATCAGCACCTCGGCCGTGGTACGTTGACTGCTCGATAGTTCTCTCGCAGTTGTCAGGCTTGATTCCAGCAATGAGCACGGATTTCAGAGGGTTCCCAGTGTCCTTCAAATGCTTGTATAGCTCCCTCGCGCCCAAAGGACCAATAGGCTCGCTCTTCATCTTCTTAGTCTGTGTGCTGTATATGCCACCGAGCCCAATGTAGTCAGCACATCCATATCCAATGGTCTTCTTCAATTCCTCCAGAGAATGGACAGTGACGCCGATGATCTTATCAGGCCCCAAGAGCTCGCGAGCTCTTACAGGGTTCATGTCATCGTTGCCAATGTGAACACCCTCTGCATCCATGGCCAGGCAAACATCGATACGGTCGTTGATGATCAGGGGAACACCGGCGTTTTGGGTTATCTTGTGGAGCCTTTCAGCCTTCTGGATGAGCTCACCTGTGTCAAGATGTTTCTCACGTAGTTGTACGATTGTCACGCCGTTATCGACAGCGTCCTGGACAACTTCTTCACAGTTGGGACACTTGGGGTCCGTGACCAAGTACAATGAGTAGTCCACCATTCCGTGTGGTTGATCACGCTATCACATTTGATGGTCATGGACAAGTGAGAAGCTTGTCCGAGGACGTTTTATACCGTTCGTGTGTGCGACTGGATGTATCATACCTCGTAAGTGCATATTACTGTGCCGGCGAGTAAAGTCAGGCACTAGTACATAATGTGATCAGGTCCACTTGATATTGATTGTTGTTGGTCGGCTATTGCTATGCTTGGGACAAGTCATGCGAGTCGATACTGACAAATGCCATTGACTTCACGTGGTTGTTGATTTTGTGTTTGTGATCATTAATGGAGTTGCAGTAACGCGCCTTTTCGGACAAACCCAAAGGCGGTTTTGTCTTTTAGGACATTTTCAAACCAGTTCAAAAAGCGTTGCACAGATGTTCTACACTCTTACATCGACTGTTCTCTTCAGTACTAAGGCGATATCAGGTACTGGGAACAACAGACGATACCCAGTACCTCTAAAGTAGCGAGGAGATGGAGACACGGACACATTTGTTGCACGCAGTCCCAAACACCCATAGGCTTCGCAAATTGAGCCCAATGGCTAATTAGCAGCGTTGATGGTCGACCATGACACAAGTTGCTCAGCGAATAAGCAAAGTACACAGTAACAAACCTCCGACTAAGAAATTTGTTAGATCTTGATTAGTAAACATCAAGAATGACATCCAATGGTCCGTAGATAGTGTATCGTGAATATAGGAGCGCCATGTAGCCAGAACATGACAATTACCCTACACTTCTTAAGCTGCTTCTTAATCTTTGGTTGCTTTGACTCATATGCTTAATGTGGTGAGCTTAGTCAGGTACTAATGGCCTATATTCAGGAAGTTCCCTGTACTGGATGTGGTTCTTATGGTGGTTGAAAACTTGATGTTTTCGATATTACCAACATACAATTTCTTAGCTCACAGTTAGCCTGGAGATTTCTTTGATTAGTTTGGAATACTGCATGATCAATATCTGTCGATGAACCTCGGCTGGACCTTATCGCTTATTATCAACTAGCCAATTGTTGTATAAGGACTAATCTCAAGCATCACTAATGGGGTTGCTAAAGCCCCAATCCTAGTGAGTATCAGTTGTCATACATCTAGTATATAATATTAAACTAATATTAGTATAGAACTCAATATAAATACCGGAACCTCTTGTTCTCAATATCTGTGAGATCAAGGAATTCAAAATTCTCCTTGTCATAAACCTCATCCACTGTGGAAGGTAACTGGTCCCGTTTATGATTATCACGTTTCGTGAGCCATCCAACCAATAATGTAAGAGGAATAGCAACGGCCTGGGTAACCAATATGGTTATCTTTGCTGGAATATAACGAGGGTAGGAATAAGCCCGAAACAGCTGAGGACCAATAATACTTGCAATGGCAAATCCGATCATAGTAAGGGCGTTACGGAAAAGTTTCTTGGTGTAACCTGCAGTATTTGCACTGTTCCATGCGTAGATCAATGTGATGGAGCATGAGCCACAATACAATAAGTACAGTCCAAAAAGATTCCCAATCTTATGTGTTAGGTCCATGGATATCAACATAATAGCACCGACAATAGATGGAATGTACAGAGACACGTGCACTAGAGTAATGTTACCAAATCTGGCAACCAACTGGGTTGAAACGACAATGTAAATTATGATCAACGCACCAATTGGAATTTGGAGAAGAATTGTAACCTCATTGCTGAAGCCAAATGTTGCAGTGATGGTTGTGGAAAATGTTCCAACTGCACCAGTGACAATTTGTGAGGTGATAACAAGCAAAAGCATCAACCAGGTATACTTATCTAAGAATAACTCTTTGATTTGGTGCTTCTTGAACTTCTTATTCTCGACACCTGTTTGGTTGGAGCGTACGTGCTCGATTACCAGCGCCTTTTCCTCATCAGATAAGAACCAAGCATTCGTGATGTTGTTAGGCAAGTAGATCCAAATGAAGATACCGAAAACCATAGTTATGACACCAAACACCAGAAATAGAATTTGCCATGACTGAAACCTGGTTGTATGGACATGCTGGAATGCAAAACTTAACAACGCTCCAACGATGGTTCCTGTTCCTGATTGAATCGCCCAATATCCAATACGTTGCGCCTGCTCAGACTTTGTGTAGTACATTCCACTGATGCTAATGAGACTCACTGCGGAGGCACTTTCAAGTATTCCAAGCAAGGTTCTAACAACCATCAATGAAGCGTACGTATGACAGGCAGAATGGCATGCGAGGACACATCCCCAGAGAACGACAAAAACCGACAAAGCTCGAGACAATGGGAATCTCTGTAGACAGTATGAGACGAATGGTTCGCCAAAAATGTAAGCAGCATTGAAAATTGTACCCAAGTTGGCAAACTCGTTACCTTTCAGGTTTTTCTTGATCCCCATCATAGCGGAGAAGTTCAAAAGAGTCTTATCAATAAACTGGAGAAAATAGATGGCACACATAAAGGTCAAGATGTACCAGTCCAATTTCCTCAGCACATGTGCAGGAAGGCGGGTCTGGCCATTGGAGTCTGTCAAATTGGAAGATAAGTTTGAGTTATCAATGACATTATGGCGTTTGTGCAGAAACTGCAGCGCAACATCATGATCTTTGAAGTTATCGTCTGAGTTTGCTTTTTCCGTGACTGAGACGTCTGTGGAAGAAGTCTTGTGCTTAAGTCCAATATCAGAGCTCATGATGTCCAATATGAAGTGGAGGGGCTAATCACACATTCCCTTTGGAGTAAACAGAGTAGAGAATAGATCTCCAGACTATATATATAACGCCCTGTTACGCAACTTTAGCCATACTACCCTGTGACAAATGCCACATAAAAAAATCGACATTGTGCCAAACGCTATCCACTCCAACTATGCCAATCAGTTGGCCATTTTGAAGAGCATGATCCTTCACAGAGATCCAGCAAACCACGATTTCGCTTCTTTATTCGGGGAGTATTGGCTATGTCCCCGAAACACACGCTTCTGTTACTATTTTGAGACGATGGTGCATATGCTGTGCGTCAGCACCATACATCTTGAACTAGCGGAGGTGTAATCCGCTCTCCGAAACTTGGAAGACGAAGGTAACGTACTATGATGATGAGCCGTGTATCAATTGGCTCATACAAAGGCCACAATTGCATTGCATGCACGCGGTGATATGGTATGGATAACTAATGCTGGCTTCTGAGGCAAGAAAAAGGAAATAGAACAGAAACATTAGTGATGGGTGTTGTTTTCAGTCCCTTTCAGCATGCAAAGGCTAAGTGCTTTTACAATTCCAACCTTTCTGTTCGATGTCATACAAAACTATATATAGAAAAAGGGCACAACATTTGAGCCGTTTGCACTCAAATTTGTATGATCAATGATCATCTTCATCCGTGTTTTTGTCTCTTCCATCTAGCAATGTGTTTATAATCCACAACAGTTTCATGTAGCATCTGTTCCACTGGCCCTACCTACATCCACTTTACTTCACATGTAGAGATATCTAGAAGCACTACTACCTAGGCTTATTATCATGCATGAGGTCTGGGCTTTGATCAGGTTGAAAGGAAAAGGGCACATTGTGGCTTTTAAATTGATCCAGCATTTCTGCTTTTAAATGCTGGAGTTTCCTGCATTGTCATCACTGGCATCCGGAGCTGGGTGGACTTTCCGCGGAGAATCACAACTAAAGCTACACCAACTACCATGAAAAAACCCAGACTTGCCTGTGACTATTGCCGGTTGAAGAAGGCCAAGTGCAGCGAGGAGAAGCCATGTCTGAACTGCGTGAGGAAAGGCATACCATGTACATACAATCCCGAAGACAATGCCCCGCCATCCAAAATGGATAGGGCGTTCCAGTCGCTGAATCGCAAAATCGATGAGTTATCTCAAAAGTTGGATGTATTTATTCTGAATGGTGCTGAAATATCTTTCAGCAATACATCTGATCAGACAGGTGGTTCTTCAAGCAAACACTCAGCTGCCTCTGCCGAAGGTGCTAGGACTTTTGTTCCCATTAGCGCAGATGAGATATTCACCGAGGAAGATCTGCTTGCCTCTGTGGTGGATGATCTAGTTCCCATAGTTACTCCGTTCCAGTTCCCAGGAGCTGACAATGCGGTCACTTCCACTGTTGATGAGTTAATACACTCTCATTCAAGATGTCAAGCACCAATATTGGGCACAAAAGTGAAAGATAAAACGCTTGAGGGCCTCTTTGATGAAAACTTTGACATCCATTCCGACTCTCCCTACAGAATTCAGTTCTACGATGGTTATCATGATACCTTTGATAATGTAATCCTGAACAACCAGGTTTCAAATGGACGACCTTATTCAATGGATATTTCCTCGTTAGTTCAATCCGAGTTTAAGGAGATAATGGGATTAAGCTTGAGGCAAGGAGCCAACCTCAGAGAGCATTCTGCAAATCTTCAAGGACGAATGGATGTATCCTTTATTCCCAAGGGGGGTCTTTCGATTAAGGCTGACCACGCCGACGAGTTGTTTGAGTCCTACCTTGAGCACATATATCCATTCTATCCCATTGTCTGTGATATAACTGTTCGTGGGATTAGAGATCAAGTGGAGAAGTCAGGAATATCGTTAAACACTGCAAGCTGTGAATACCTTCTACTTCTTGCTCTGGGTGAGGTCACGCTAACCTCAGAGTCCCACCATTATTGGTCCTCAGTGTCATATATCTCGGATTCAAACTTATCCTTATGTCATGGTGATAGTGAAGAAAGCGGTGTTGATAATGACCGTCTACAACCACCACCAGGTTTTCAGTACTTCTGGCAAGCCTCGGGTATTATTAGCAAATTGAAACTGATACTCAAACCTGGGTTTGACAAACTGAGCATTCAACTCCTAGTATGTATATACTACATGAAAACTTGTCAGTTGAACAATCTGAAAAGAGAGGTCCTGGAGGGCTCAGATATGTTATTCAAATTCATTGAGACGGAGGGAACAAAACACTCACATCGTGATATCTTACCACGGCTGTACTGGGTGTTCTTGAACTTGGAGAGATACCTGTTCAATATGAAACTTTTGGAGAGCTCCTCAGCTTTGGTTGAAGTACAAGACAGAGTTACAATTCCTCGAGGCTGCAAATCCGAATTTAGCTTTGTCAGGGACGCTGATACGTTTTACTCAAATTGTTTTATGCAGAATATACTTCTTGCTAATATTGATGACAAGGCTAGGATAATGAGCAAAAAACTAGAACAGCCATCAGGAAACGAGGACTTGACTTTCAACGACTCATTGAGAATATTCATCAAGTTTGAAAATGAATTAAATATCTGGAGAGAGATCTTGCCCTTTAACTTCCAATGGGAGGATGATATTTCTGTGAGATCTACACATCTTGAAATCGACTTGTTGAAGATGAAATACTACTTGTGTTATGTGACTGTTTGTGAATTTATCATTCAAGAGTACGAGAAGAGAAAGAATTCATGGGTCATATCTGATGAAATCTCAAAATTGTACATTGGACAAATACAGCTACTCATCGAAAAAGTGCTACAATTTTCTATTAAGGCGCAAAGCATATTCAACCGACAAGCCCTAACTGATCTCGACCCGGTGATATGCTCCTGTGTCTTGAACTGCATCTTTTTCGTGTTATCATCAGCAACAATAACTAAGTACCGTTTCAAATATTCAGCAGATTTCAAAAGGGTTTTGAACGGGATGGCATGTACGAAAAAGAAGGTGTTTTGTTTCACTCTGCATTCGCCAGCATTATTCTACAAATGGCAAAAGCTAGAAGAAGCCATAAAGATCTTATAAATGTAACTCTGATATCAAACTATACTAAACTCTTTCTTATCCCAAGGCATCATAATGATAACCTTCTTGGAACCCCTGGATCTTATCGAGTTTTTCTAAGTAGTTCCAAACTTGTGGCCACTTATGTTCCACATCAAGCTCAACAAAGGAACTCCGTTTGACGAAAGCGTATGCCGCAACATCGGCTATATTCAAAGTTTGTGAGACCAACCAACCTTTGTTTTCGTTCAATCTTAATTCCAGAGCATCATAAACCTTCTCTGTCTCCTGAAGTGATCTTTGAATGGCAAAGTCATCTTGGACAGGTGCAAAGTTTCTATAAAATGAGAGCTGTCCTTGAGAAGGAGAGAGATCGGAGGCTGTGAAGAAAAGCCATTTCATTTGATCCCAGTATACTGGCCCATCTTCTATAGTGTAGTGAATCTTCTTTTGAGTGTCATATTTTTCTGCGCTGAAGAGAAGGATAGCACAACTTTCAAAGATTACAACTGCCTCGTTATTGATGGGGTCATGATCCTCAATCACCGGGATTTTAGAGTACGGGTTAAGGCTTCTGAAACTCTTTGAAAATTGTTCTTGCTTCGTGATGTCTATTCTGTCGTATTGAAATGGAACATTCAAGTGCTTCAAGAGCACGGTAGCGCGTCTACCGTTAGGAGTCCCGATAGAGTGTAGGACCAACTTATTATCAGAATCAATGACAGTCATGGTCTTTCTGGGCTCCCGGAGACTTGGCACATTTACAAACTCTTTCCATGATTATGTACAGGTTATATATTGCTTTGGTACTGTGTGTGCTTTGTGCAGATCCTCCCTTGTCTCGAAGTACCACCGTGACTTGCCGTCATGCATGTTTCTGCATGAAGCGGAGATTCTTCCGACCTCCGGTGCAGGATGGCCAAGGTCCCACCTGCATCAAGAGATCAAATTGTTCATGGCCAATAGCCACAATTGTGGAGTCTATAAGCCTGTCCGATTGTCCAGTTGGAGTTCAAGAGCACCTTCTGAATTGCCATGGTGAATCGTGTGTTTCATGCATTCAATGTGTGGCTGGCGTGGGCTCATGGTATTTCAACAGATGGGGCAATGATAGTGAGCGGGTTCCGGAGGAGACCTCCGGTGTAGAATCATCCAACTAGTTTATTTCAATGATTTGAGTAAATTGATATATATATATTGGAATTTTCTCAATTACTAATGTCATTGTGTTCAAAGGCTTACACAACCTGACAGAAATACAAAGAAACAATGAGCGAGACACAGCTTTCAACACCAAAGACCGATCACGGTCAACAGCCAACGCTTAAGTTGACGCCAGCGATTGACGACCATTTGGCCAGAACCCTCAAGCAGAAGCCATTGCGTTACAAAGGGTCCTTCGACTCTTACAATCATTTTGAAATCTCGCCATATATTGGGACAGAGTTTCCAAAAGGTTCCATTAGTCTCCGTGACCTGCTGAAAGCTCCCAACAGTGATGAACTATTGAAGGACCTTGCGGTTCTTATAGCCGAGAGAGGTGTCATCTTATTCAGAGACCAGGATTTGACTCCTGATGAGCACTCCTTGTTGGTGAAGAAACTATCCACATTACCACTTGGTCAAAAACCTGAAGATGCACTGTTGCATATCCATCCAATGACACACTCCAACCCAGAATTCGGGGACCATTTTGTCAAGATCTACTCGAAGCTGAATGAGGTTTACAAAGGTGATAAAAGAGGAATCACTCAAAGAACAACGGGACTTTTCCATTCTGACTTGAACTATGAGAGAAGACCAGCATTGTTAAGTGCACTAAGAATGACGGTTGTTCCTGAGGATGGTGCAGGTGGAACTGTCTTTGGATCTGGGTATCACGCCTATTCCCGACTTACCCCAACATTTGCTCGTTTCCTAGAGAACTTGACTGCTCACTCAGATTGGACAACAAATCTGAAACTGTTTGACTCCAAAACTGGTGATCATTATAGGGAGGTTAGAGGTGCAGAGAATGTGGGCGCACAGGTTGTGTCCGATCATCCAGTTGTAAGAACTAATCCAATAACGGGGTGGAAATCTCTCTACTACAGTGTTATTCACAACCGGTATATCAATGAGTTGGATTACGATGAGTCCCTTGCAGTGATGCAGTTCATTGAGAGATCATTAACTGAGAACCATGAATACCTCATCAAGATCAGATGGCAGAAAAATGACATCGCTATATGGGACAATAGATCCACCTTCCATTCAGCTACAATGGATTATGATGGGCAATCGTCATATAGGGAGGGTTTTAGAGTTACCACTTTGGGTGAAATCCCTTACCTTGATCCAGCATCAATTTCCATCAAGGAATATGAAGAAGCCCTGAAGAACCAAGCTCGTTGAGTTATGCTTCAGAGCATTGTGCTTCCGTTCGCTTAAACTTGACTAAGAACAGTATTCTTCAATTAACAAATAACATGATATTAGTTCTCTGATAGGAATACTATTCATAGTGTTCCGAAATGATTTGTAGTTAAAAACAAAAGAAATGCGTGAACTGTAACTGCTTTATGAAGTTCCTCGATATTGATATTCAGGACCAGTTCCCTATACAGGATGAGATTTCTACTTTAATCATCTTATGAATTCAGACAGAAAAAGAAAACAATTAATATTATCTTGTTTCGGTGGCTCAGGAATGACCGTATATATGCCGAAGAAGCGTTAGAGGTACAAGCTGAGAACATTGCTGCGTTAAGATGAACGCGATTTGGGCATACTCCAACGACTTGCTCTAGTACAACAAATGAATGATGATAAAATCATAATTAACTGATGCTCTTGAAATAATTATACATGATTGTTGAACTTAAGCTGCCGTCAGCACGATTAGTGGGCCGTTAATCCACCATTCACCACCATTGGATCTTCCAAAACGACAACCAACTTCTTTATACCACCCCACTGTGCTCTTATGCAGAAATCGACCACAACTAGTATAAACGCTACATAATACTGCAGAGAGCGCGTTATTGGTAGAGACAGCAGAAGGGTAAGTGCTAAGTGCTCAAAAAATTCCAAAGAGACAAACAAAGTAACGGAGAACAACGGAGAGCAACGGAAAACGACAAGTTGGCCATGAGATTATCCCCTAATGTTCTGCACGATGCTATAGCGAACGTAGTCTCTTCGTCCACACTCTCCCTCCGGGACTCCTCAATCCCGCTGCTGGAGAATCTCGACGTTGTGCCTGATATCTTCACCGTCCTGGACATCACAAACAACGACATCGTCACATTGGGAAACTTCCCACTCTTATTCAAAGTAACCACTCTGCTCCTAGCGAAAAATAACATCTCGAACATCCAGGACAGCATTGCATTACAACTCCCGCAGTTGAGGACACTTTCTCTCATTGACAACTCCATCGGCGACTATGCTACACTTGAGAGACTAAGTTCGCTGACCAGGTTGGAAAACCTTTACATCTCCGGTAATCCCATCATGCTCATGGAGCACGTCAGAGAGTTTGTCATTTGGTGCCTACCTCAGTTGAAAGTTTTAAACTTTGAAAGGGTTAGACAATCAGAGCGGGAACGGTGCCTCGAGCTGTTTGGCCGAAGAGATGAGCCAAGCGAATTGGCTGACAAACTCAGATCAGTTGGGTCACAGAGAAGAGTTTACTCACAAAGTGATCAACTGGAGACCGTGGTGAAGAAACTCAGTGATGAGGAGCGTGAACAGCTAAAGGAACAATTGAAGTCTGCAACTTCGCTAAAGGAGATTGAAAAGATTGAGGATATGCTAAGGAAAGGTTATATGTAATCACTAGTGGTTGAATAGATGTAATTAATTAATGCAAATGTGGTTCTCCTGTCTCTCTACCTATTTTGGTCATCCTGTGACTGGTCATCCTGTGCCTGGCCCTTCTGTGATCAGTAGTCAGGATCAACACCGTTGCCATTGCCGTTGAACTGTTTGCGTCTATTGTCCTCCCATTTCGGCCTCTTTGGGGGATGATCATCTCTCTGGCCATTTCGGCTGTTCCTGCCATTGTGGGCGTAGTTCAACTGACGATTCCCATGTTGAGGATATGGAGCATTATTCTGAGGGTATCTGCTTTCTTGACGGTCCTGAGGGTGTGGGTGTTGCCGTTGTTGTCTGTGTGGCTGGCTGAACTTCTTATACTGATGCGGTGAATGGTGTTCTTGCCTGTGCTGTTGTGGAACCTTTTGCTGTGTTTGAGCTTGTTGTGCCTGTATTTCTGCTGGTGTGTGTGGTGTATATGGTTTCTTTACAAAATCATTTCTTGGATGAGCAACCAGCTTGAACGGTTCCTTGCCCTGAGCTTGTGGTTGCTGTGGTTGTTGTGGTGGTTGCTGTGTCCTCTGCTGCTCTCTTGGTCTCGTACCAAGAAGACCTGTTGGCCTTGAAAGGTTGTGTGCTTCTTCACCATTGTTGTTCTGTCTCGCCTCTTCTTTACGTTTTAGCACGTCAGACTCATGGCAATCTGGAAAGTCTGTGGAGATGCGTTCTTTTGGCAGAGGCTCCGTGGTGAACCATTCATTACTAAGACACTTCTGTGCTGTGTACCTTGTTTCAGCGTTCAAAGTTAGCAAATTGGTGAGTAGTCTTATTGCATCAGCAGGCATGCGCAATTTGCTAAATCTCTCACTGATTGTGGGTCTTCTCTTCTGGATAACCAACTTGGGGGTCATCTTGAACGTCTTGTAGCCAGGCATGGAGACATCGTTAGGCTCACCAATTAAGGTGAATATGTCATAGGCCTGGTCGATGTCTGACTTCCCCGGTAGTATTGGCTTCTTCTCGTACAACTCACCGAGAACACAACCGCATGCCCACATATCAATCGCTGTCGTATACGCTTTGTTTCCCAAAAGCACCTCTGGCGCACGGTACCATCTTGTCATGACAACCTCTGTCATTGGGTGTCCACCACCAGGTGAGTTCATTGTGGGCCTCTTGCCAACGTATTCCCTGGCAAGACCAAAGTCCGCAATCTTCAATAGTCCATGGCAATTGATCAGGATGTTCGAAGCTTTAATATCCCTGTGGAGGTATCCAGCTCTGTGGATGAAATCCATGCCTCTGAACAGCTGTAGCATCACGCTCTTGTTATCAGCCTCCGAAAGCTGAATCGCTGGGTTCTGCAGTATACCTGTGAGGTCGAAACTCATGTATGGCAACACCATGTAGAACGACTTCCCCAGCTTACTGACGATTTCCACCAGGGGTTCTTCTGGTGCTGGTGAATCGAACACCATCTCTAACAACTCAACAATGTTTTCATGTCTTAGTCTCTTCACGGTATTCATCTCTCTGAACGCCGTGACTGGGTACATATCCTCTGGGTCCCTGAGGAGAATCCTCTTTATCGCAACAATCTTCCTGGACTTCTTTTGCCTTCCTTTATACACAATACCAAACGTTCCCTGTCCGAGCTTCTCTTCAATCGTGTAGTGGGAGAGTCGTCCGTTATCGTAGAACCTCTTAGGCTGGACTCTGGGACTCAAGGGTCTCTTCCCAGACGTGATCTCCCTTGACATGGTCGTTGTCGATTATGTCTTTTGGTCACGCGTGATTATTTGCCGACGTTACCGTAATGTAGTGTTACAGCAGAATAAACTGTGTCTCTTTTTGTCCTCTCTTCCTGACAGATTGCAGCTTTTGAAATGTGAACCTGGTCTAGGCGACTACGCAGCGACTAAGTTTTTTCTGACCTGTTTGGCACAGCTGTTTCAAACTAGTCGGGCCAACACCGGTATGCGCCACATACAGTTGGCCAAAGAAGAAGAGGCACAAGGCAGGTGAAAAATGGTGGTGGGTGGTCAGCGGCTAAGAAACATACATCTCGGAGAAACATCAACAAACAAAGTGGTCATAGCTCGAAGCGTAAACAAACCACAAACACACCACATCGCCGCAGATACAAAACAGGAAACGAAAACAATGCTTGAAGAGAGAGACTTCCCTGTGATCCCCGGTGATTTGATGCCAGACGGAATCTCCCACGAGCTACAGCAGCACATCAGCGCGCTTGTTGGTTCGAGAGGCTCGCACTTTGTTGGATCTCAGCCTGTTTCCTTCGAGGCTGCCCATTTGACTGAGACGCTACTACAGAGGGACTACTTTGTCTGTGAGAAGAGTGATGGATTGAGATGTCTGATGTTTTGCATCCTGGACCCAAACGGCGACGAGGCGGTGTTCCTCATAACGAGAGAGAACCAGTTCTACAGGGTCCCCAACTTCCATTTCCCACTGCCGGGCGATGAGAACAGCTGCCACAATGGAACGCTGATTGACGGTGAGCTGGTTCTCTCCAAGAGGCCCACTGATGGCGTCAAGGAGTTGAGATACCTGATGTTTGACTGTCTTGCGATAAATGGTCGAAACATTGTTATGAAGCTGTTGCCCAACCGTTTGGGTTATCTCGATACGCAGTTTTACAGACCGTACTTCAAATTGAGAGAGCAACATCCACAAGCCTGTGAATCATTCCCTTTCAAACTCAACTTGAAGAATATGCAGATGAGCTACAAGTTGCCAAAAGTGCTCGACAGTATGAAGTATCTGGGGCACGTTTCAGATGGATTGATCTTCACATGCTGTGAAACTCCGTACTTCTTCGGCACAGATAGTACACTGCTCAAGTGGAAGCCAAGTGAAGAGAACACTGTGGATTTCAAGCTACGGTTGGATATCCCACTGTATGTCGATGAGGACCTTGACGAGAGAGATCCGGATAGGGTTTATCCAAATTATGACGTGAAGCCAACGCTGAAGCTACATGTGTGGCAAGGAGACAGGCAAGGGGTATCTGAATACACTGAACTTACGAGGTTGGAATGCACAGATGAGGAATGGGAGCAGTTGAGATCGTTAGACCAACCTCTAGATGAAAGGATTGTCGAGTGTAATAGGGATTCGACTGGAAATTGGCATTTACTGAGGTTCCGTGATGATAAGTCTAACGGCAACCACGTTACAATTGTGAAAAAGGTGTTGCAGAGTATTCAAGATGCAGTGTCGAAGGAGGAGTTAATTGAAATGGCACCTCAGATCGAGAAGAGCTGGAAAGAACGTGCGATGAGACGTAGGCATCGTGATTCGTGGGATGGGAATCAGTCCATTTCCCATGAGGCCCATGACTCTGCTAACGACCACCACAGGGGTGCTCATCACCCTCATCAAGAACATCGCCAGAATCAGGGACACAGTAACAACCAGCAGCCACAGTACTTCGACGATGACTCTGAAGAAGATAACTAAACAGGAAAGAACACACCAGTACAAGTTCCCCATGTCCAATTTTTTTTTACATAGAATTAGTCTAAAAGGACACTGTGACCCAGTGTAGTAAACTTGATACCGTCAATCTTTTGATCTTTAATTGATATTTTCGAATCACGGATACTGACAAATGAACCATAGACATTAAAAAGAGGCTATACGTCATTTTGAAACTACAGAATTAGAAGTTGACAAAGCCCCTGTGGTCACCAATTCATTGGTTATAGCTTCATGGAATGGTTGATTATCGCTTCTACATTTCCATGGTTTCAGTGATCTCCAAGGTCCAAGATCAAAAAAAGGCTTATGCTTATTCAACAAAGCACTCTATGAACACTGTGTTTTTTCAATCGCTTTCATTTGATATCTGAAAAGCCTGTGAGTTCTCATTGTGAGAATTTGTTATATAAAATCCATTTTTTGCTTCCTTTTTTTTTCACTCTCGCACTTTCCCTCCATTCACCGCAGAGTTGAGAGAATTCATTTGAAACGAATCATTCTTTTGGAAAGACCAGTGGTGATATTTATACATTGACTTATACACACTTGTTGAGACTTGGACTAAGGACTTGGTTGGAATCCTTTTTGCCCTAGGTTTACTATCTTGTTACACCAATATTGAGAGCTGGAACGGAGAGAGAGGCACTTCCCATTTCATCCTGATTCACCCTCCATTATGACTACGGAATTGTCCAGACCACGGCGTAGAACTGCCAAGGTGGACTACACCGAGAAGAAGCCTGAAGATTATGAGCGGAAGGAACGTGAGGCACAACGAGAAGCACAGCGATCTAAGGAGAAGGAGGCTAAGGAGAAGGAGAAGCTGAAGAAGAAGCAGTCGAGCACCAGCGTAACTCCGGAACTTCTGGATGCTCATTTTTACAACATTCAACCACCGTATACGGATAAAAAGCATCCATTCCCCTGTCTGTACAATTTTGAAGATGCTACTGTACAAGATGGGCTGAGACTCATACTGAAATCTGGTGAGGTGTTTGCAAAAGGTGATAATGTCTTCATGGTCTGTGAACCACCAGGTGATCCATATTACGTTGCAAGGATAATGTCCTTTGTCAAGAAAGGTGGTGATAAAGACGATACCAAGGGGAAACAACGGGCTGATCTCTACACGATCAAAGTCAACTGGTGGTACCGTGCTCGTGACATCTCAAAGCACACTTCGGACTCGCGTATCCTTTATGCCTCAATGCATTCCGACACTTGTCCAATGCAAAGTCTTCGGGGTAGATGCACGGTGCTCCACAGGGATGAGATTGAGGATTTTGATCAGTACAAGAGTATACCCAACCAATTCTGGTTTGATAAGTTGTTTGACAGGTATATGATCAAGTTTTACGATGTGATACCAACGATGATGCTCTCGAATTTACCCACTAATTACTCCAAGGCTTTGAACAAACGGTTCCAATACATCTTTGTTGAACAAGGTCGTGCCAAGGAGATGTTACAATCACCAAAGAGTTGTATCAAGTGTAACCAGTGGTGTTCACCAACGGACTCGATCCAGTGTTGTGAGTGTGATGATACGTATCATTTGCTTTGTTTGGACCCACCAATTTACAAGAAACCAGCTAGAGGGTTTGCATGGTCCTGTATCAACTGTGTAAAGAAATTAGAGAGGAAGAAATTGATCTCCAATTCACCTTTTGAAGACACTGAACCTCAACAGGACCACACAATTGAAACTGAAGCTCAAACTGATCAAGACGTCCATGAGGATCCACCAAAGTCACCGATTTATGAAGAACTAGCACAGGTCTTCTTAGAAAAGGATGCATCTAATTCATTCCAACAACGGCGTGATAAAGAAGAGTGGGTATATCGCTATTTGGGTATGCATGCAAAGTTAGAAGATGCATTAGATGTTGAAGATAGGCCTTATCCAAGAGCTGCTTCAAGGTTGGGTCCTAGACATCAACTCACAGGTATTCAACCTTGGTATGAACATAAAGTTGTATACTATGATACTTCTGATTTAAACGAAGAGTTTCAAAGTCAAAATAACGGTAAGAAGAAACAGAAAGACTCAAGGAAGAAGAAAATGAACAACAACACTCATAAAGATGTTGAAGAGGATCAGCCAGTCTTGCATGTACCAGAAAAGTTTAGGGAAGTTTCACCTACTGAATTCCCACCTTGGCTTCAACCAAGACCTGAAGGCTACATTGAAAGAGGTGGTGACGACACAGTAACATTGATGTGGGATCAACCAAAGGAGAAGGAGATCAGCGAAAAGGTTGAGGATTATATCAAACAATGCGCACCAATTGCTGAATCGTTATCGTTATTGCCAAATACTCCAAACTTTGTCGATGCCATATTAAAGAATTTATTAGATTGTGGTTACAATTTCTCTCGAGCCATGGAGTTGAACCAGAAATTGACTAGAGATTCTCTCAGAGAACCAACTTTCACCCCTAAGGAGGTTCAACTGTTTGAAAGTGGTATTAGAAAGTACGGATCTGAGCTTTGGCCAACGTTCAAAGAGGTCAAGAGTCAAACATTCGCCATGGTTGTGAGATTTTACTACTTGTGGAAGAAAACTAAGAATGGACATTTAATCTGGGATAATTTTGAAGGAAGAAAGAAGTACAACGCTAAGAAAAAAGAAGATACACAGGAAATGGATTTGGCAAACGATGCCGATGATTCCAGTTATGACGTTAAAAAGGCTCAGAAGACCCATTTCAGATGCAGACATTGTAAAACTGAAGAATCTACCCAGTGGTTCAGAAGCTATGGTGTTCAGCACCCAGATGATGACCCTACTATCTTTTTGGGGTTCTGCAAGCGGTGTGCAAGACTTTGGAGACGTTATGCGGTGGTTTGGGAAGATCCAAATGAAATAACAAGACGTTTGGGTCAGAAGAATGGTGCAGCCAATAGAAAGAAGCTGGAATCTGAACTGTTGAAAGATTGTGAAACAATTCTTGAAGTTATTAGAGACATGCCTGCCTCTAAGAAACGTAAACTCATGAACCAAGAGTCTGCTACCAAAGTGAAGAAACTTAGCCCTTCACCGCCAGATGAGTCACCAGTTTCAAAGAAGAAGAAATCACTCTCGACGAACTTTGATGATGATCTGAAAAAAGATTCACAGAAAGAAATTGTACCAGTGGTTAACTACACCGAGTCCCAAAGTGGTAATTTGCATCAAATTCTCGTGGAACATTTGCATTGGTACACGTCGCCACTCCATAATTCCAAATTGAAGTACAAGGAGCTGTACAAGCATAGTGGTGCAATTGCGTCTGTCCCTCGTCCAACTCCAGCATCTGCTTCTGTCATTACAATGTGTTCTCTGTGCCGTCAACAAGCTGATTACACAACTGCGTTACGCTGTCAAGGATGCGGTCTCTGTGTCCATCCAGGTTGCTACGGGTTATCCTCTGATGCAACGGATTATGGGTTGTACAAGTGGGCATGCGATCCATGCTCAAACGCATTGAACAAAATCATCTCAACGGACAACAATTGTGTCCTGTGTCATAACACGTATGATGCTTTATCGCCTGTGAAACGTACAGAAGGTGGGAAATGGGCTCATATTTTGTGTTGTTTGTTTAGCGAACACGCTAAGGTTGTCGATACAACTACAATGCAGCCCATTGTTGGGTGTGAAATGCACTTTATCTCTCATACCACACCTGAAACACGATGCATTGAATGCTCAAAGTCTTTTCAGATGAAAGATATGTTGAGTGGATTTGAATGCACATCTGGCTTTGTTATCAATGCTGAGTCGAAACCTGATTCCAAATGTGTGAAGGTTGGTGCGGTAATTGGAAAATTAGCACTAGGTGTGATTTGTAACTCTCATGAGACTCTCTCATATACATTCATCCCATTCAATACAGAGGTAAAGCGTCATAAACAAGCTGGTTTTGTCAATGCATTACGATTCTACCTCGATGAGCAAAAGAAAGATCCGTCTGGACTCTCGGGAGCGCAACGCAAGTTCCACCATTGGAATAATGCTCGCATTCAGGCTTTGTCATTGAATACTGTGCTTTCTTCAGAAATCAAAGCTCCACAGCAAGTTTGTGTTAGTTGTGGCACCAAAAGGACTTTGAAATGGGAAACTATCGATGGGAAGGTTCTTTGTTACTCTTGTCATCTTAAGAAACATGACGATGTAAAGGTAGATGATGATGCCAATGTCATTGAAAACGTTGCCAGTCTGTTGAATGTTGCTGATGAGAAACTGGACGGCTCGTTATATGGAATTTCTACTGTCAATGAGAAACTGGAGAGACCTCCATTACAGGAGGAAGTCCAAGTGAAAACTGAAGAGACTGTACCATTAGTTCCACAATTACCACCACTGCCACAACTACATACCTTTACTCCCGAGCGTGTTGCGCCGGTGATTCTCCCAGTTGTGTCATCAACAGTCCCTCCAGCTGATGCTACGGTTGCTGATCCGCTTTCTGCTCCAATTGTTCCTACCACTGAACCAAGTGTTGGTCATCCACGAGAGGTGAGCTTGCCTTTACCAACAATGAGCCCTATGGCTGATGATGGTCTTCCAAAGTTGAAAACGTTCACCGTGAACCACGATATCAACAACGCAGCCATGCTAAATGGCAGGCCGTTAAAGTTGATTCCAATCCAAAAGGTGAGTTCGAATGAAAAGAGAAAGACCAAAGAAAATGTGACCGATGATAGAATGAGCATTGGGAATATACTTGGATGATGATGACGATGATGATGACGATAATGATGATGACGATGTAAATAGTTTATTTCGTCGTTTGTGAGGAATAAGCGACGCATTCTCATATACACATTATATATATATATACGACTGTAGCACTCACGAAGCTTCATGTCATCAACGTCGGCTCTGGTGAACATCTTCATCATAGAGGAAGCTCGAATAGTAGTGAACGCTCCTTGTGATGACGTAATCATCGTATTACTGAGAGCTGCGGCCCTAACCCGTTAGAGAATTTCGAGGGCAATGCTTCCGTGTCTTAGAGTTCCGACTCATTAACCCGAACACCACATATAGATCAGGCATACTCCAACCCGTTACTACAGGGACTTAACCAGGTACAATGTTAGTGAAGAGTTGACGACTTCGAGCCTGGCAAGCAAGAATGACTGTCAGGTTGTTCAGGAGGTGCTATACTAAAAAAGTTGAAGATGCCTTTACCCGTCGGCTAGCAGAGCTGGAATCCGACATCGTCAAGAAGGACGATGCTTTACTTGGTGAGGAGTTTCAATCTTTGATAGACAAGGATCCACAGCTTTCGAAGATACATAGCGAGTTGGACCGAAAGGAGTACGAGCACAAGTACCAGCATGCTATACATAGTGCTAAGATCCCCTCCTATGCCTCGAAACATACTAAGGATATTGCGTTCTCCCAACCATGGACTGGTGAAGAGAAATCTCATGATACAACTCTCAGAATGGTTATCGATAAGTACAAGCCGACCAAGTCCCAAGTTGAGGCTCGGAGGCTTGGTAAAGCAAAGGAGAGTGTACTCGACTTCCGTATCAATAAGGTGTCGGATGAAGACTCCACATTCAGAGCAATATATCATGAAAAGTTCACCCCCATTGGGTCGTTTGACAAGATCAAGACATTGGCTGATGCCAGGATTGAAGAGGCAATGAGACAAGGACAATTCCAAAATATCCCTCGAGGAAAGAAGCTGGATGTTGAGGTGAAGCCCTACATCGACAGAACCGAGCATCATTTGAACAATATGCTAGTTAAGCAAAACATTGTCCCACCGTGGATTGAAAAGCAAGGTGGTGTCAACGGAGAGATCTCATCCTTCAGGAAGGAGGTTCAGGACAAATGGGAATCACATATACGGCACTTCTATAACGAGGACCACAATGCAATGTTCATGGAGTTCAAAAGACGATGGAGAGGTATCTTAGAGGCCAAAATGGTCAATGTAAATAGCTCCATACGGACTTATAACTTACAGGCACCGTTATCCACGCAAAAGTTTTACCTGTTGATGGATAAAGAGCTTGAGAGATGCTTTGCCAATGTTGATGCTGATGATGTTAATAAACAGCATAAACTGCAAGCTGAAAGATCACAGAGAGAAAAAGAGCAAGAGCAAAGCTCAAAATCAAATTCGTTCTCTTTGAAGTTTTGGAAGTGGAACGACTAACAGTGTCCTTGCTCTGTGGACCAATGTCAAATAAACCGTATAGATTACACTTAAATCGTATTGATATGTATATAGAAGTAATAACCCTGCTCCAGCAGAGTCCCATAACCAGCTTATGAACCTGAAGTACCGAAAGAACGAAAGAAAAAAAAAAGAGGCCGATAATGAAAATGGATGAAGAAAACAAGATGAGATGGATTGGCAACTAGAACTTTGAGTTGTCATAAATGGAGGAGTTGTTATCTACACTCTCATTATCAATTCCGAATGTTTTCGAATGTCTGAGGCGAGAAGAATCACCACCATATACATCTGCCGAGCTGAGAATGTCATTTGTCTTTGTGAACTGCTCATCGCTGCCATTGATATTTGGACTGTAGTCAATTGAAACTGATGAATCCTTCTGACCGAGTCCTTCTTCATTTCCAAAACCATCAAAGGAATAGTGCTCGTCATCATTCTCTTTAGAGATATAGCTTTCACGATTAACAAGTCTCTGGTTATCACGTCTGGATCCCTTTCCTTTACTCAGTTTTCTCATAAGCTTCCCAGCAAAGGTTTCCTTTTCTTCTGCCGCGATAGGAACTGTCTTATCCTCGTTGTCATCCGTGGAACCATTGTTTGAGGATGTGGATCTATCGTTGTGCTCATTCATTTCATAAATCTCTGATTGCCAGTTATCGTTATGGTCCTTGGCAGCTATACCAAGAGCCAATAACTCTGCAGCAGGTCCCTTCGCACCCACGTGTTGAGAATAACGTTGGAATGAAGTTCTGTCATCCCTCGCTGGCTTGAAACGGGCATCAGGGTTCTTAGAGAAGAATACGAATGCACTAACCACAAGGATGAATAACAACAGGATAAGTGAAAATGCAGCGTTCATAATGAAGAAGACCCATCCCATGATGGATGCAACAGCAGCAGGTTGTCCAAACAAGTTTGAGAAAAACACAAACAAGAAAGAGTTAATCGTTGTGACCAATTGGATAGTGATTGCAACGATGTTTGTTGGTGTGTTGAGGAATGGTCTGAAATGGATAAGTAAACCCAAGTAGAGCATATCAACAAGCCAAAACGCCATAGCCTGTGTCTTTCCAGATGATTGGGCAAGTCCAATGAACATACACTTAAAGAAAGCATGGAACAAAAGGACAGCGCTCCAATAGTACTTTTCGGCGGTGAACATTGTGTAGATGAAACCATATTTATCCAAGACTTTTTGATCACCATAAAGCACAGCTGCGGGATTCTTGAACTTTTGTATAGACTGCTTTGCAAAGAAACGAACTCTGAGCATTGCCCAACTTAAGGAACCAACAGCCATAATGAAGAATAACACTGCTAGAACAATAACTGCAGCTGAGTCATTCTGTGTAAATTCCCAAAGAGAGAGCAAAATAGTCTGTGTGAACCCAATAAGAATATATCTTGCCAGTGAACCTTTCATCACCCTTTTCCAATTTTGTCTCAGGTCCAAGAATCTAGTGGATTTCATCCAACCTGCTCTGATACAAACTTCGGATCCGTATTTGAGAACAAACAACAATCCAACAAGAACGTAACCACAGAGAATGAAGAACGTAAACCCGGTAACCACCAAGCTCGAGTTTTCAATACCTGCCTGGTATGCAACTCTCTTAATACCTCTAAAGATCAAAACGTTTGCGTTACCATATAGCACCACTGGTTGTGCTCTTTTCACAAGATTCTGCGCGTATTCCCACGATCTTTGCACAAGAATGTTGATAGTGGAGGATGTGAGGTTCAAGTCCGGATCACCACCTGTTGATTGAATGTACCATCTGAATATCTTTTGCATAAAGGAAACTCTGATGATCCCCATGGACCACGCCAAGTTCTCAGACCAAGATGCAGCGATAGGAGGGACTGCGTCCACAGCCATCATAGAAATGACAACGACACTTTGGAAGTACAAGAACAACGACACAGCGTTGGCACTCAAGTGCGAAGCAGCGTTGGAATTACCGTACACGGATGCAATCGCAGACGTCAAGAGGCCGATACCCGCAATCACCGCGGTGGCCCATTTAACACCGGTCTGTGACACCGTCTTACCGTTCGTGAAGAAGGCTTGGATACATGCAATCTGCTCCCCGGTGTCCCTCTTGGAAACGAGGACCCTTGCGAATGCATCAATGTCCGGGACTGTATAGGCGATACCTGGGATTTGATCTGCATACTCATCATCAATGTACTCGATGGAGTCAACCTCAACACTTCCAGGGTAAAGAGGACAGAACTGCTTCCATGTCAGCGAGCACGTGTCGATTCTCTTCGTGATGATCTTGAATCCGTAGGCGTAGACGTCCACGTCCGCGATGATGTAATCGCTCACCTCTGTAGTGAAGTCCAGCGTGTAGTGGAGCGACTTGTCATCAGGGTTGAACTCCACCGAGAAATACGACGCGGATAGCTGGGAGTTCTCCATACACGTCACCAAGGACGATGCCTTTAGCACTCGGCACGTCACTGTCAGGGCGCTCAGCAACAACAACAGCAACAACTTCATGGTTCTCTCAGCGCTTACAACCGTTGATTTGGGTGGGAAACTCTTGAGTCTTCAACCACAGCGGCTAGTGCAAAAAGTGGCTATAACGATGGAAACAAACACAGCGGTTGGTCCAACAAGTGTTAAATAGCAACTGTCCGAGGGATTCACACTAAGCGCTCTGTTGTTTGTTTTGATCTTTCTGGATCAAATGCTTTTTATGCCAAATCAAAGTGGTGGAACTTGGTAAAAAAGCCGCTGTGAAATGAGGAAAAGCAAAAGCAGCGCACACTCAAAAAAAAAAAACACAAAAAGCGCTCAACGCTTGTATAAAATTAGAAAAAGAAAGAAGGGAAAGAAACGTTGCAGATCGGCGGTGAGGGAAATTCCGCCTGTGTTTTTTTCTATGTGTGTTCGGATGTTTGGCTGTACGGATGAATGATCACGTGTAATATCACGTGATCTATATTCATTCTACCGGTAATTTCGGTGCATATTTATACGTCATCTTGTTGGTTCAGATACATGAAGCATTGGGCTTATCCTTGTCGAAGACTGTGCCCACCTGTATGTGTTGACAGTTGCTGTCAATGTTAGGGCTTAGAAGCTCCTGCTGTTGTGTTGACATGTGGTGTCATGTTGTGTAGCCATTAGTAGCACTCTCAGCTTTAACCTTCTCCGTGTCACAGATGATGGGGCATATATACTGGCAAGTAATAGCACTGAGGCACAACTGACGAATCGATAGTTGCTTGTTCGAATCCCGATGGAATTGTACACTTTGCTATGTATTCGATCTTCTGAGAGCAGATCAATGCATTCATACGATTATAGCAGTAAAATACTGTGCTTTTTGGTGGAGTAATAGTGTGCTATATACGACTCTACAACATGAGAAATGTGCACAGTTATCAACTAAGATAACACCATGCTGCGGTGTTAATGATGGTAGTCGTAGGCCACTCCAGACACAGGTAAATATTTATATGCTGAGAGGAGACAAGATGCGGAATATTCAACCTTTACATCAGTCCCTCTGTCTACCCTGTTCCCCTCCTCGAGATACTCGTGATCGAAAGCATAGATGATTTCAAGACTATAAATATACACAGCTTCGGTTTACAAAAGATAAAAGAGCAGAGGGATTGACGAATAGTTTCCTGTTTCAACTGCCCCCGTCTGGAAATCAACTAAATGATACATTCACTGTTATGCTCAGATCGTTCTTTTATATATGGGGATCTAAACCAGAGGAACTCTACGTGGGCATTTGCTATCTATGTATCTCACATTCTAATTATGTTATTCCACGGAGCACCCAGAGATGCTCTTTACGGTAATGAACATTGAATGACCAATTGAAGCATCACAACAGACTGTGCACGCTGGATATAGTCATTTTAAGAGTCTAAAATGAGTTCTAATGAACAAATAATCTCAACCACTTAAAACCTTGTAACACCAGTACATTGTCGACTAGTCCATCATCACAGCTTCTAGGTGCTTGAACCCTTTGTCTTGAATATAACACAAGCCATCAATGATTTTCGAGGGAAAAGCACAGGGCCAGTGATCTGCTAAACCGCCCGTCAGGCTGTTTAATGGGCTACTGACCCGCAATTCAACAGGCTTTTTTACTCATCCAGCTATTAATGCGTTTAGAATTGTTGATACTCTCTTATCGATGACAAATCTTCATATTAGTGTGAAAGTAAAGAAGTATTTGTGCATGTCAGTCTCGAATATAACTGATGGCTGTTTGGAGTCGGAGCAGCTCCTTCTGGGCGTCCACTTCCTGAACCCTTTAGAGACATCATACCAAAGCTTCGAAGCACGCAGAAAACAGTTCCTGGATGAGCATAACATGAACGATATCTGATCAACTTTCTTTATCCCCTAATCCTTCACGACTGGCTTCTGAATCGACCCTACAGTTCTGGAAACTTTGGCTCGATACTTGTAGTGTCTATAGCATCCAGATCACTTAGCGGGATCACATACAGATACGAGTGTAGTATCCATTGGGAATGGCCCGCCATCTTTTACACACAGAAGTGCCGAGGTACACCACTCTACTCCTCAGAAGATTATTAGACCTTAATCGTTCAATTTCATGAACATCTGAGCAGTATGAAGATGACAAAATTCGAGCAAAGAACGTTCACTTTGGTTCAGCATAGTGGCTTTTATAGTTTCAGCACATACGGTGGAACCTCAGCGATGTCCTGCTTGAATATCTTACAAAAGAAGTCCAAGAGACTTGCTGACACTCCAAGCATATCTCGTTGTGGACATAGGGTACATATTTGTTGAAAGTTGAGCCTAAGGGTTTCTCGTGCAACCTCGGACTATTGAGGAACAGGTCCCTTGCTTGTTGACTAGACCACTTCGATAGCTAGCTGGTTAGTGCTAATAGGATGGGGAGAGACGTGCGCATGGTGTTTTCATCCAGATTACAAGTAATGCCTTGATGTTGAAAATATAATTATACGTTAACGCGCAATTAACTATTAAAGGGTATCATTCAAAGTACTGGTGATTAGATCAAAACAGCAGCGGCGAATGCAACAGCACCGACACTGGCACCAACCTTGGCAACACCGTTGTCGGTCTGAACGACAAAGGTGGAAGAAGTCTCGGTCTCCTCAGAGGAGGTGGAGGCAGATGATTCATCAGATGATCCACTGGATGGTGTGAAGTCTGCTGCAGTAGAACCGTCAGCAAGAGTTGGTCTGACAGCAACTGGGTTTGGACCAGAACCACCAGCAAGAAGGGCGTAGTCCTCAGTCAAGGAGAAACCAGCACCGTTGTATTCCAAGTAACCATCAACGATGGAGAAAGAAGCAGAACCTTCAGTTCCTGCAGTGATACCGGAGTCAGAGACAACAGCGTATTTACCATCACCAATAGACAACAAACCCTCGTCAGTGATAGTAGCAGAGATGTAGTTATCACTTGAAATCTCGAAAGTGTTGTCGACCAATCCAATGGAGGAATATTGGTAACTGGAACCGGATCTGATCAAAAGCAAGCCAAATGATTCAGAGTCAGCAAGGACAGATGCAGCAAGGGCCAAAGAAGCAAAGATGGATGAGAATTGCATTGTTGTATTGTATTAGGGTGTTTTCCGTAAATATCAACAGAGGGAGCCAAAAATTGGGGAAAACATCGTGCACTCCGGCTCTTTTTATACACAAACTGTTTATGCACCATCCGTAAACAACAAATCGATTCTGACGAATCATTGGCCTAATCCATAACTGGTGGGCCGCATTGTTTTGCTACCACGTACATTACATATGCAGATCCTTCTTCGGTCCAATGACGCGATTTATGGAAACCTTGACCTGAGTTATATTGGAGCTTCAACTTCTCTAGGACGGTGTCGATGTACTTCGCTGCAAGTCTGTCATACCTGGCCTACATTCACCTGTGTCTACACGTGTATATGTTCCAATCCAGCAACAGCACACTGGATACGGTTGCACCCTATCCGCATTCGGATATCGTTCATCCTCAAATATGCAACTTTGCTGCTCCTTCCTGCACACTTACCTAATTGCGCGTCCGCCTTTGAAGCCACCTTTTGATGCCAATTGGGGTGTAAAACCTGGACGCCGTACAACTACTCCAAAGAAGTGAGCGCTAGGTCCTGAGAATGGTACTCTACTTCACCATGTATAATGTTGCAAGGGGCCCTGAAGGTTTAGTATTCTGTGAAGAGTCACCTTCTGTGGGTTTTAATATCCTGAGCGTGTTTCAAGTCTAATCGCGTGTTTTCGTCGTAACCCTGGTTTCACCGGACCAAAATGTCCAGATCTCTCTCGTATTTGTCCTCTGTATTATTCTATCGTGCAGTTAGCATGGGGGGAGGGCCATAACATGTCGACGTTCGTCCGATTCAGGCTGCTATGGGCATGCTCGGTTGGTCCCAACTTTGTCGTAGTCAAAATACATGTATCTGCACACATTCCGTCTATGAGGGAGTCCCAATAAGGCACTGAGGACAATCGACTATCTCAACGGCTTCTTGGGTAACGTAACTACGCTGTGTGCTATTGTTAGCATCAAATTTTCAGAAGGGAAAAAGTAATGCCAGATGGCAGGTTTATCCGAGTTCTTTTGTTAGCACCTGCGAGGTCTATATGATATTCGCCCTTCAAGTATGCTCTCTGGAGTGCTTCTCATCACGTCACTCTCGTTTTGATATGATAGTCTTTGCCAAACAGACTTTCTTGTTGAATTATCCTTGAAGTGAGTGATTCACCTTACTCACTCACATTACTTCTATCTCTCGCCCATTCGGGGTTCTCAAGACTTCCCTGATGAATCTTTGGTTCTATGGCCAGGTATTTCTTTTGGCCCTTGGTTACGCTTTTACACCAGTTATAGGCTTGTCGTTTATCATTAAACGACAGTAAATCATCTCATAAGCTATGATATGAAACTCAGCATTGGATATTGGGAAATAAAAATGTACACGTAACGTCCGCTGGAACCAATCTGCTGTATTTTCCACACATATTAGCCAATGTTTACTAAACGTTGTTTGATGCACGATACGTCAATGAAGTCCGATAACTCTGTACAAAGGTCCAAGGGTTACCGTCTCTCTTTCCAGTCCGCTGGTGACTTCTACAGTGTTTCGAACTTCCTTGGCTTTAGGCTCAGAGCTGTATTTTGATTGTACAGCCGTAAACTACCGAATTGTATATTGTGACCAATTAGGGACGTACGGCTATTGACTGCACTCCTCAATTCGCTAAGTCCAATCAACTGGATACATGAAAGACTATGTTTACTGTGCTACTACTCTTCAGAGTTACTTTCTGTATATAATAAGATCGAGAGCAATGGACTTGTGGGCTCGAGTACGAATCATTCTTTTTGTGCAAAAGGAAAAGTCATTAAATTAAACATAAGTATATAGAAAGAGGTTTTTTGTTGAGTTCGTTACTAGTCATTGATCAAGTTTAGATCAAAAGAGCAGCAGCGAAGGCAATGAAACCGGCACCAGCACCGATCTTAGCAACTCCGTTGTCGGTTTGAACAGAGAAAGTAGATGATTCCTCAGTCTCGGAAGAGGTGGTGACGGTAACGGTCTCTTCGGCACTGGTAGTCTTTTCTTCAGAAGTGGTAGTCTTTTCTTCAGAAGTGGTGGTCTCCTCCTCAGAAGTGGTGGTCTCCTCTTCGGAAGAAGTCTCCTCACCTGGAGTGAAGTCTGCAGCAACAGAACCGTCAGCAAGAGTTGGTCTGACAGCAACTGGGTTTGGACCAGAACCACCAGCAAGAAGGGCGTAGTCCTCAGTCAAGGAGAAGCCAGCACCGTTGTACTCTAAGTAACCATCAACGATGGAGAAAGTAGCAGAACCGTCAGCACCGGCAAAGATACCAGAGTCAGTGACAACAGCGTATTGGTTGTTGCCGATGGACAACAAACCCTCATCAGTGATAGTGGCACTGACGTAGTTGCTAGAAGCAACAGCGAAAGTACCGTTGTTCACAAGACCAATGGCAGAGTTTTGGTAAGAGGAACCGGATCTGATAAGAAGCAAGCCGAAGGTCTCGGATTCAGCAAGGGCAGAAGCAGCAAGGGCCAAAGAAGCAAAGATAGATGAGAATTGCATTGTTGTGTGTTTGTTAAGCGATTGAACTTGTTTGTTTTACTTGATAGTGATGATACAAGAAGGAAAAGTCGAGACAGATTAGAACTAAAAGTCGACTCTTTTAGTGTCCTTTTATACACGAAATCCTCCCCATCATGAGAGTCTGTCAATCTCAGAGACACAACAGGTTGGTTATTTGAAAACTGCAAACCAATGACGTGATCTATTTTTGTAACCGCAGAACATCTGTGAGCTTATGCGCTAATTATTCTCTTTCTGGAAATTTCTCAGCCAAATCTGGGTCCCCCTACGTATTCTGTTACCCTTTCTGCATATACCTCTCCTGGCCCCCAACGATATGCTTTCCGCATTGGGTAATTGTGCAGCTCGCGGGTCGATTTCAGGTTAGAACTTAAAATTAAGATTGGATGTACGTTTCTTTTCCCTGGCGCCTTGGTTCGAAAACTTTAACCTAAATTTAGAGTCACCTCATAAACGCCCTCTTTTGAGCCATCAAAGGTGCCTTCATCGTCATCGATGATCTAATTACACTGGATGGACTAACCTTTATTGAGCACATGTGTCTTAATTAGCAGACTGTAATAATTTACTGTCCAGTATCTTCGTCAGCAGAGTGGGAGTTTGCTACGGAGTTTGCTACGGAGTTGTGATTTGACTTACCTAATGCTCTGATGGTCGCTGCCACGTGCACTCTCTTGTCCACAAGGGGGGGGTCAAAGTACTACTCGTGTTGATGAGCCTTCACAAGATGATTCAAAATGAGTCAATTTGTTCATTTGAAAGTCAGACATGAGCAACATGCATTGGCTAACCAGCGAATTGGAGAGCTAAATCATGGTTATAAAGGCGCCTTAGTATTTAAGCCCTTCTTTGACAGCAGATGTGGGCGGGCGACTGCCAGTCTTCTGCGCTAGTCTTAGGCACCATATGCATAATTGTTAGCCATATCTACGATTCATGATTCCATAACTTCTGACAAACTTTTAGGTGGCTGGCTCCCGTTCGCCTTTCCCTGGATCAAAGCTCAACCCTCTCCTTTAGTACCCCTTGATGAGTTGATCCAAGAGGTTCCATCTTTCCCGTCTGTGCTTCATCTGAACATGGGACCTCGTTGAAGGAGTTGCTGGCTCATGCATAACCCTCATAGTTTTTCTGCAAACCACTAAGGCGATGTCTACAACTATCATTTTCTTCACACGAACAACAACGTGGGCCTTTAGTTGAGAACAATGCTTATGTAGCTGCCAGTATGGGAAGTCGTCCCCACAGAAAACGTGTGATGTTGGTTCCTTTCTTCTGTAGAAGATCGGCCTGCAGTTATGCTCAACATGATCTATGTGGTTTTCTCTCCAAACGATACGACTACATGCGACGCCATGTGAGTGGTTCGAACGAAGAGAAACCCCTCGCAGCACACGATGTTTTAAGACATCGTGCCAATATTCCTCATTCGTATCGTCACATGTCTCTCTCAAATGACAGTGTATTTTTGGCAGTTCCCCTATAACCAATCTCCGGTCTCGATAATACGATGACAAGGCAGTTCAACTGATCAATCCTGACTCTGGACTGCATGTTTTCAAAGTGAGACACTGCTGGTTGCTGGGTGCTCGGTACCAGCACCGCTAATTCTCAACATGAGACACTGCTGGCTATTAATTTGTTATTTCTGGGTACCAGCTTAGGTGCCCAGTACCCGGTGTGCATTTTACAGTACTGCTGTATACTGAAAACACTGGATATAGCGAGGATGAAGCTTATATGTGATATGACTTGTATTTGAGAACAAGGTGGATCTCATAGCAGTCACCTCCAGCTTCCACTACCTCATAGTTTGTAGTAATTGGTTGATTGTGGTTAGACAACTCCAAATCACACCATATTAGGATAAACAGAAGTGATCTGTGAAAAGCCACTGCTGTGTGTTGTCTCAGAAATGTATATACGGCACTTTCCCAGTCTTTGACTTGTTCAGAACAGAGTACCAATTATGTAGGACGTCTAATGCCACGGGAGTTGAGGTAAAATAATCACTCGCCGATCTGTCGATTAAAGTGACGGATACATGAAGATCACCAACTATCACAACGTGTATTAATCAAGAATGTTCCCAAAATAGGTCTTGACCGATCCTGCCGTCTCAATGGCTCAAGTATGTTTCTAAGGTGACCCCTGAAGTATCTCTGCGTGTCAAGGGCACTCTTCTTCCATCTCTGGCTCATAATGCCCCTCTAGACACCATTCCAACACCTTGAACTTGTTGGTTTCAAACTCCCGTATTACACTTCAGCAACCGGCTCAATGAAGCCTCTGTGCTGTGCCTGATGAAGTGGCTATATGAGGCCTGCGTTTGGAACCAATTGACAAGAATTTACGAGCTCTTCATAAACCAAGGCTCCGTCATTGTTAAGTATCTGAACTAAGAGGCCATCTGAGCAATACTACACTGTTCAATATTAAGCGAGGCCTTCCTGCAAAGCAGAGCTCCGGCTTTTGATGTGATCAAGCCAATGGCGCATGTCGACTTTTGATACAACTTGTCAAATAACTACCCTACGCATCATACATTGAGCACAACAGTTCATCATCTCAACGCTAAAGTACATAGCCAATCCACTGTTAACTAGCTCAGTACTCAATATTCAGTCAAACGACCTACGGCATCCATCTTGAACACACAATAGCCCTCACTCCAAGCGATCACAGATACAATCGTCAATGGAACTGTCCTGAGACTGTCTGCGGTTATCAAAGTGTATCCATGACAGCAGTCTGTAAGTACACACTACGATAATTTTGATCACGTGATACGTCGATTACCCTTAAAGCTGCTCACTCACGAAGCGGGCTTTCTCTCATCATCAACATACATTCAGTTAGATTGCTTAAGCTGGTTTAAAGCTCATGAAGGAAGATGCTGGACCATTTACCCGTGGAGATAACGGGGGAAGTCATTAAGCATCTCGGTGTAGACGATATCAACAGTTAGTTCTCCATCTCACGGTTCAGAGAGTGTTTGACGGACAAGGCACTATTCCTATACAATGAGGACATCATCGCTCACAATGCTACGGGCTTTGACTGTGCAAACCTTCCCTTCCAATACTACACCAATGAAGTGAGCTTGTCTAAGCTCTTAACTCGTGATAGGGTGAACAAGGTGTTCTCTATCATGGTATTTACCAACTTGACCAACAACTCAGAGTCGACCACTTCCATGATAGGCTCGGCCTGTGAAAATGTATCAACACAATTCTGCTTTATTTCACTTCCAGACCCCTGGGAAGACATGGCAGGAAGCTATTTCGATTTCACTAATACCAAGCTCTGCCCCAAGAGCACTTGTCTACTCGATACATGATACTATTGTCGATGATGGAGGGTATTTGGAGGCCTTCAAGTTCCCGAACTTGTTGCAGTTGGAGCTCAGATTTGTTTCCTCCACACCAGAGAGTCTTGATTTCTCCAAGCTTGAAAAGCTTTCACTTGATTCATGCCAGAGTACCGACGTGGAGTCAAGGTGGAACTTACCATGTCTCAAAACGTTAACTGTTATCCAAAGCTTCGACACTATCAATGAATCTATTGACTATCAGGCAACCACGATAGAAGCATTGTCATTAATTGTATAGATGACCTTGAAACGTGGGAAGGTATCTCGAATGATTCAATACTGCGTATGGTTAAGAGTCCTCGTCCCGGTGGCATATGGAAAACCTTTCACTGAATTCATTGAAAGGTCTACAAGTGAGCGATATTGGCGAATCTTTCAAGCTATTAAACGTTGTAATGCCCAAAGTCGAAGAGATCTATATCACAGATACTTTTTCCTATAGTACAATGGTTCATTTATCCTCCATCGATGTCCCAAATTTGCTTGAACTCAAGTTATATGAGTGTAAGTTGACATGTTTCAAAGACATCAATGCTCCTTCTTTGGAGTTTGCAGATTTGAATATCGATCCTTGCTCTGATGATACCACTGGCTTAATAAAGATCCTCGAGAAGGTGAAGAACCTGGGCTCTTCCAATGGTCTTTGGTCAAAACATATGCCTATGCTTGAGAGTATATTTCTCGCTGAATGTGATGAAGAGGAATGTGATGAAGAGGAACGTGATGAGTTTGAGAAACAGAGCTTCCCATTACTAAAGAGGTTACATTCAACCTTCACATATTACAATGATGAGTTTCCTTCACTGCTACCTGACACGCCAGTGCTGGAGGTATATGAAGCATTTAACCCTCCAGATCTGGACAGGCTTGACAAGCTACAAGTATACCAAAACACATTGAAAGTCATATATATTATAGAGGATCATGCTTATCGTACGTTTCCAGCTAGGAGTGCTTTGCTTGCCAATGTCCAATTTCCACTCCTGACAGATTTGATCTTCATTGCTCAGTATTGTCCATACATTGAGCTCAGAGGTTGCCAATTTCCAAATCTGAAGATCTTGATATTGGAAAATGAGTCAAAGGCATTTGGTATGAATGCCTCTGAATTGTCTACGATTGAAATACAGACACCCAGCTTGACAAAGCTTCGCATCAAACGTCTCAGACTTGGTGATGTTTTCGAAGTCTCAGGGTACCCGAGGTTGACCAGCCTTGCTATAACGGAATGTCCCGATTTGAGAGGAGTTGTAGTGCTCAAGTGCCCTACGTTGACCAACGTCAAGATTCATCCTCACAAGCCTCAGCACAACGTGCAAGTTCGTCACGATGGCTCACTTGATGGTGTCGATGTTGAGCCATTGGATTGCTTTCAATTGGATTGCTTGCAATTGGCTCGTACCTAATACACGGTCCCCATATAGTCACTGTAGTATGTATTGTAGTATGTATACCAATAAAATCTTGGAGATGCTTATGCTATAACGTGGTCTGTGTCCTGGTCTTATATTCCCAGGCTGAACTTGGTTCTTTCATAGACGTAGAAACTACAGGCAACCATTGGGACGATCTTCACGAAGCCAATGCTCAGACCAACGTAGAACCCCTTGAATCCACGCTCCGACCAGATCTTCATCGCAACCTCCTTCATCGATACGAACTGGCCGTTGTTGACACCACCAACTTGCATTCTTCTTCTCACCACTTCCAGAGGGTAAGATGACGTCTGCGAGACCATTCCTGCTAGCCCACCAGCCAGTAGCTGAGCCCAAGTGTTCAGTGGGGTTCTCCGCTTCCCACTCACCGTGTTCTGCGGCCCTTTTGTGCTGTCAACGGTGTACGCTCTGATGTACTTTGACCTCATTATATCGTGGATGACGTCGTGTGCCAGGAACGACACTCCGGCGTAGGGCACCATGCCCATTATCGTTGGTATGAATCCTCTGTAGAAGTTTGTCATTGACGACAGCGACGGAGGCAGTGTTTTCTTGATCCAGTTGATCAGAAAGAAGTGACGATCCACTATGGGATGCTCCTTGTAGATCTCACCAACAACCCTCACTAGACGGCCTTTCCTCACGTCGTGATAGTGATCCTTATGGTGTATATGCATGTACTCAACGGGAGGTTTCTTGGTCTCGAACGCCAGTCTGACACGGATCAGGTCCAGCGGATAGGTTATGAATACGCTCATCAGCCCAGCTATCGAGCCCGACAGCAGCCTTCTCAGCGCAGTCTCGTGTTCATTTGTTGGGATCAGCACACGTCGCACCTGTTCGTACGCAACAAATTTGATGGCGGCGTAGGGGAACACCCTCAGCAAGGTGACACTGTGACCTTGGAAGAACCCAATAGCACCGTCATTGCGGTATATGGCACCAGCTGCACGGAACAGCCCACCCATCGAGCCCGAGTACTTCTTGTACACCGGGTTACCCGTCTGGAACAGGATCTTGATACGATCCAGCGGCGCTATCAGCGTCTTGGCTGAGCAGCCAGCTATGCCACCAGCGAGCCCGGTCTTTATGATATATTCAACAGACGTCTTATCGAGCATGTCCTTGGGAGCCCTTTCAAATGGAGTAGTATCATCCGCGTGCACCTTGGTGGTGTTGATGATTGGCCTGAGCGACATCTCTCCGGCTCTCTGTCGCACTGGCTCTGTGTGTGTCACTGCTGCTGTCTCTCTGGCACCTCCAGAGACCTCTTCCACCACTTTCAAGCACTGATTCTATGGCTGTGGAGGAAGGGATTATGGCCTATTGGAGGAAGAAGAGAGAGAGAGAAAAGAGACGATGAGAATTTTCGTTTTCGTTTTCCCGCTTTCCCGTTTCGTTTTGTTTCGTCGTGTTTTTCGTTTTTGCGTGTCGTTTTTCGCTTTCTGGGAGAATATCAGCGAAACTGTCGCTCGGTGTGACATTTTTATCCCGAATAGGAAATTTAATGGTCTACCCCACAGGAATTGGTGTGATCAACCCAGAGAAAAGTCTAGGCAGGAGAGGCTGAAGCCCCCAGGCAGAGAGCTGAGAGCTTCTAGGCAGGAGCCTCGGGGCTCACTGGGCGGGAGAGGTGGATGTTCCAGGCAGAGTTTTCCTTTTGATAACTCGGCTCCGTGTAAAGGGCCAAAACGGGTTCTATGGAGCAAAGGAGGAAAGCAGCAACAGCGCAGCGAAAGAGGGAATTTTGCCAGAATAAGGACCATAGCACACAGGAACTGCGATAAGCTGAAATGGTGCACGTTCAATTGGCTAATGTCCTCTCTTTTTGTCTTCAATCTGGGTTTGTATGCACAGTTGGTTCAATTGTAGCGTGGGGATCCATCTCTCTACGGAGGTGCTTGTAAGGAGAGGGTGTACAGATGGTGGGGGTCGATTGTACGGTGCAGTCGATTGTACGGTGCAGTCGATTGTACGGTGCAGTCGTAGTATGAGCACACCCTCAGTGATTGGTTTATACCTGAGGAAGTGATTTAATGACAGTGCAATTATACCTTTGCCATGGGGATGGAAGTGCTCGTAGTGTGCTTATGTAATATATGTGTGTATACTTATGTAATCTGGTGCTTATGTAATGAGTACATATGTGCTTATATAATCTATATATACATAACGTCCCGAAGCACCGTGAGACCGTTCAACATTGCATACGCAACCAATTAATACCCACGTCAGAGTCTTCAGGTCATGTCGAAAGCTGCCACTGTCAGACTCAAAAAGGAGTACAAGAAGCTTCTGGAACAGCCTGTTCCACTGATTGTCGCTAAGCCAGCTGAATCAAACATCCTCGAATGGCACTACGTGATCACAGGTCCTCAAGATACACCTTACGCCGATGGGCAGTACCATGGAACCGTTGTCTTCCCCAGGGAGTATCCCTTCCAACCTCCAACTATACGGATGATTACCCCAAGTGGTCGGTTTGTGCCTGGCCAGAGGATCTGTCTGTCTATGTCAGACTTCCATCCTGAGTCCTGGAACCCTGCCTGGAACGTTTCTACTATCCTGAAGGCATTGCAAAGCTTTATGGTTGACGATGAACCTGCTACCGGGTGCTTGGTTAAACAAGACGATCAAGTTATAATGAGTTTCGCTAAGCAGAGTAGACATTGGAATGCCACGTCAAACCAGCAGTTCAAAGCTCAATTCCCTGAACTGATGCTATAAGATTCATACCTGCAATTCTTTCGAATCACAACTAGCTTGGACTTCTTCCACAGATTCATCCGATGGCGCACCATCCGCACTCTTTTGATCACTGATGAAGAAAAGAGTTATGGTTGCTGCTGCAGAACACGCCAACGTGATGTAAAAGATATTATCAATCTTTGATTGCATCCGTTCCCTTTCATCTGACGTTGTGGCAATCTCGATCTCTCCCAGTACTGTGGCAGTCAATGCATTTCCAATACATATACCAACTTGTCCAATGGTTTGTAAAAACCCACTGGTGACACCTTGCAAGTGAACTGGTGTACGTCTCAGCATTGCATTGATATAGATGGAGTAGTATATGTTTATAGCTGCCCCGAATAGAAACAGTGGGACGAGTTCATAGACCCAATATCCATGAAGAGAGTCATATCTTTGTCGAGACATCCACAACAGCATAAAGACGGCAACCACTTGTGAGAAAATCAAGACAGCTTTCATTCCAATTCGATAGAATAACGTCTCCAAGTTCAGTATGGCAAGGAGACAAAGCCCAATGGACAGCGGGAGTATCTTAACACCTGTGATCAATGGAGAGTCCCCCTCGACGTATTGATGGTACTGTGTAAGACCAGAGACCATCATGATGAAATAGATGAAGGCCAGAAGTGTACATATCACAAAGGGGAAGAAATTTGGAAGAAACATCATCTCACGGGGAATCAACATGTGAACTTTATAGAGATATGAATCTTGACCCTTTGCATCAGCTCTTGAATCCACTCTGTCCTTGCGATTTTGAATTATGACGAGCTCAAATACAAATGCACCAACCAGCACCAGAACTCCAACTGGTAAAGGAATGTAAGCACTTGGCTTTTTCCATGAATCACCACCTTCAGTCAACCCAAGCGTGATTAACAATATTCCAATGACGAAAAGTGCACTGCCTCCAAAGTCCAGGTACTTTAACTTTGTATCCTTGTGAGCCTGAGGTTTGGCAATAGGGACATGAATGATGTATAAAATCATTGAGATCAAGACAGAGAGTGCAAACGTCAAGTAGTAAATCCCCTTATATCCAATACTTGAAACGCTGAAGGCACCACCAATTACGAAACCAAAACCAAGAACTGAAGTGTAAGCAGCCATCAGGACGACAAGGGCATTCCCCAGTGATTTGGCCTCAAAATAGTTACCTGCAATGGCAAATCCACTTGGAATTGTAAACGACGCTGTGATTCCCTGAAGTGCTCTAAAAACAATCAGCACAATGATCTGGTTCTCAATTCCAGCACATATAAGGGCGAAGAGACCAGTTATGAACAGTGAGGATATAAACACGACGTCTGGTCCCAGGATATCTGTTAATTTGCCCCCAAGCATGATGAATGCACCAAGAGTAAGGGCATAAGCAGAAAGAACCCATGAGACCGTTGTCGTCGTTGAATGGAAGTGCTCTAGAGTGGAATACATCGTGGCCATAGAGCCAGCCACGTTTAGGTTGTCCATTGCAACACCAATAGCAACAAAGGCGAAGGCAAGAGCCTTGCTTCTCTTCTCAACTGGGTAGATCGACTGTAATCTCGTATGGATCTGGTACACTATCTGTTTGAAGGACATCTTTTTGCGTGATGGTGGGATTGCTGGCTATGCTACAAAAAAGTAGAAGCTCTGGGTCAATTTATATTTGCCTCTGGATTACAAATGTTCGCATTATTAATGCGAAGGTATCTTGCCTCTACGTACATACACGTTCCTCGAGTCCAATGCTCAAAACACACATAATTCAACATTTGATGATGGGTAAATCTGAGAATTAGTAATACCTGCATGCAATGCTGCAGGAGAGGAAGAGCCCCGTAGCGGACTTAAAGGAACATATAGCACGAAAAGGGTATGTCCCTAGTACCAATTGGCTGAGTCTCGGGGTTCTCTGCTGTTTGAATAAGTCCAATGTTGTCGCTGGATGTCCGTGTTTAGAGATTACGTCCACTTATTCCCGTTTTTAAACACTGTGCTTGTGAAGAACTAAAACAGGTGCACTAGTGGGATCGCCGAACTTGGGTATTTACTGTCAATTGGACAAGATGGTGAATCTATACTACAACCACTGCCTATAGAACCAATTGATGCTATTCACAGGGGTTGCACTTCGATATTTGATCACCGTTAGAAGCCAAAATATGTTGTGTCGCCTCAGGTCACGTGATTAACAGTATAAAGCCTTGCGCCTCGCTGCATTCCCAGTGACCCATAGATGTTGCACTTTATCTGTCGAATGATGAGTTTGCCACCATACCAATTCACTCTGAATAGGCACAATACCGTAGTACAATGCTCCACCGGTTACCTGTCGAGGTCAACCAACAGATCCTCCAGTACCTAGCTGGTGCTGATGTGAATAGCCTCCTATCAATCAGACAGATCAAGGAAAAGTTACGGGACATAATTCTATTGGTGGAAGCTGACCATGGGTTGCGATTCCAGATCGAAGATCAACCCAGTGAGACGTTTCCAGCAATTGTACAAAGGTGTAAGTGGAGTGACATGGTGAAGGAGAACTTTGAAAAGTTCAAAAACTTTGCATACGTTGTTATCTTAGCTGGTGATATCCGTAACTTGAAGGGATTAAGTACTCTTGTTCAGCTCCAAAAGGGAGGTCCAAAGCTGTTCTATTACTTCACAGATAAGCCCATTATGGGAGTCATCTTTGACCGCACAACATTGAAGTCTTTGGGCTACAAAGACACCTCAACTCATCAATACTGTTTCTCCAATGTTACTGCTATGACTGTTAAAAGTATATCGTATCCATCGACAGCTTTCCAGTTCCCTGCATTGAAGAGCCTGACGTTGGAGAGAACCAGCTTTTTGCCGGAGAGTCTCAACTTTCCTGGATTGTTATCCTTGTCTCTAATCTACTGTGAGAGTATTGATGAATCGTCAAGATGGAATCTGCCGTCCCTTAATAAATTGTATGTCCATGGTAACTTCAGGACAATCAATGATTCTATAGATTACAGAAACACTACAATAACTAAATTGGAATTGCACAGTATCAGTGATTTAGAAAGTTGGTCAAATATCTGCAATAAATCTATTAAGTCTATCAATGCTGGATTTGTTCGAATTGAATTGCACAATATTCGTTTTGAATCGCTGAAACGACTCAAGCTGAGATCATATACGTTACAGGTCTCTCTTTTGAATGTTCCTGAGCTTGAGCAATTCACCTTTGAACGGTACAAGAGGTATGATTTCGGAGAGGACGTTTTAACCTCCATTCAAGCTCCAAAACTCACTCACTTCAAATGCACTTGCGGGAACTTCTCAAGATGGGAAGATATCAATACTCCGTCTTTAACCAATGCTACTATTGTTGATTCTGCTGGTCCAGACTCGGATGTGGCCTCTGACTTTTTGACAAATGTTGAGAATTTAAGGGTCACATCCTGTGATTGGTGGAAATATACCCCAAATGTGAAGCATATGGAGGTTTTTGGTGATAAAGCAAATACACAATGGTACTGGTACACGTTTCCTCTGTTGAAAACTCTACGAGTCTCGCCACCTCCGGACTGCACTGATGCCTTTAAGTCTTTCAGCTTACCAAATGCCCCGTCTTTAAAGCATATCGAACTTGTCAATTTATCAACCTATGATTTTTTGAGCACTCTCGGTGCTTTTATAGAGTTGGAGTCCCTTGCCATTCTCAGGCAGTACAATGGGCCAAAGATGGACAAACCTCCTATTGATTTTGAGAAAGTGAACCTTCCGCAATTGAATAAGCTGGTGTGTCAACTGGCATGTTCACAGTCTGTCACAATCATAGACTGTGTGTTTCCGAAGCTTGAAACTCTTGAGCTTTCAGGAAGTGAAACCATCCGAAGTGACGTGGTGAGAGCATTCAAAATCCAGATGGAGGCACCGATACTACAGAGGCTTGTTATTCAGGATCTCAGATCACATGAAGTTGTTGAAGTAACGAACTTCCCGGAATTGACTCAGCTCATAGTAACTGGATGCCAGGATTTGAAAAGCGTCATCCTAGAGAATGTTTCCCGTGTTAAAACCTTACAAATAGCTCCCTATGGGTACAGCTACTATAACACCAATAACAAGATCAACGTCTACCATGACGGCTCTCTTCCTAGAGGCCTCATTGATTCGAAAGAAGACTTCATCAACGAAGGTGTCAACTTCATTAGGGACCATACATAACAGACGTGGTCCCTGTATTATTCAACCACCAATCGATATAATTACCCCTTTCTAGTGACACATTTCCACGATGTACATACGTAGATCTGCGCCATAAGCTGCAAAAGCTGTTGATAACGTTGCAGGTCCAAGGAACCGAGAAGCATAGTTTATGTCCGGATGTTTGTCGATACAATTACGTTTAACCATTGGTGTTCGGGTTAATGGGTGTCCTGATGTAAGATCACGTGCCTATCTGTACATAACCTTGCGTCTCGATGCATTTCTAGTGACCCATATATGTTTCACTTAATCTGCCGAATGATGGCTTTGCCACCAGACAAAGTCACCCTGGGTGGATACACTGTGATACAATGCTCCACCATTTGCCCCTCGAGGTGAGCCAGCTGATCCTGGAGCATCTGGATGGTGTTGATGTGAATAATCTTCTATCAATCAAGCAGGTGAGAGCTAGGCTTCGAGACAGAATTCTATTAATAGAGTGTGATAACGATCCCAGCTACATCATCTTCAGTAATGTCTTCCCAAACATTGTACAAAGGCGTAAGCTGAGTGATATGCTTATCGGACACTTCTCCGAGTTTAAGAAGTTCTTGTACGTTGTGATTGTGAGTGGTAGAACACAGAGCTTGAGAGGAACCGGTGTCCAAGACATAGTGTCTCCCAAGAAGTACTATCACTTCATAGACAAGTGTGCAGAGAGTTGTATTATAGATAATGAAGTTTTGGGAAGGTTAAAGTACAGGTCCACGTCGACTGATGGGTACTGTTTCTCAAGTGTTTCAGATATTAGGCTTCACGACGTTATGTACCCTTCAAATGTCAAATTCCCTGTTTTGAGGACGTTGTCTCTGGAGAAGGTGTCCTTTTCACCACAGCATCTTGACTTTCCTTGCTTGAACTCACTGGCTCTTGTGAGATGTGAGAGCGTTGATGTGTCCGCGAGATGGAGTTTGCCTAAGCTTAAGAAGCTATCTGTTGAGGGATGCTTCAAAACAATTAATGACTCCCTTGATTATGGCACTACCACGATATCAACTCTGGTTCTATCAGGTATTTCTGATATGCATGAGTGGTGCAACTTTTACAACAGTTCCATTCGTGTCATTGATGCAGATTTCGATGATGTGATAATTGAAAACATTCGTGTGGAACTGTTGAAACAGTTGAAGCTCAAATCAAAAGACCTACAAATATCTCAAATGTGTTCTCCGAGTCTTGAAATTCTCCGCATAGAGAGCACCATGGCCCGTGATCCTGTAAATGTCGTATTATCCTCGATTGACGCACCAAAGCTGGAAGTATTGGAGGCAATGTGGGCAAATTTCTCACAATGGGAGGATATCAATACGCCTGCCTTGGTGACAGCTATTGTGACACATTCTACAGGCCCAAAATCTAATACTGGCTTTGAATTTATGAATGGTATCTTGTCATTATGGGCCACATCATGTGATTGGTGGAAATACACTCCAAAAGTTGAGAATTTGACTATTCTGGGTGCTCAACCCAACACACAATCGCATTGGCAGTATGAATTCCCTTCTTTGAAGACCTTGAGAATAGAGCCAGAATGGGGTTATTTATCTGCGTTCCACTCTTCCTTGCCTCATGCTCCAAAATTAGAATGTCTTGAGCTCGTGGGAATGTCAAACCTTGACTTCTTGTCAACTCTAAACACCTTTACCCACCTGAAGAAGATCAGTATCCTACAAGTTAAAGGTTCAATGAGCCTAAACAGACTGCCCAATATAAATTTGGAAGATTTATATCTTCCTTCACTCAAAACATTGATTTGTCACCCTGCATATCCACAGAGTGTCAGTATTGTTGGTTGTGAATTTCCTCTACTGCTGACGATCCAGTTTCAAGGAATTGCAACTGTCACCAACTATCAGCCACCTCTTTCTCGATTCAAGATGGAGGCCCCAATGTTGAAGAAGCTAACTATCCAGGGTCTTGAGCTAGGCCAAACTTTCCAAATAACAAAATTCCCTAATTTAAGTGAGCTAGTGATAACCGGAAACCAAGGTATAAGAAATGTGATCATAAAGAATTGTCCATTGCTGGAACATTTAAGCGTGTCTCCCTATGTTTTCAGTTGTTACAACACAGACAACAAGATCACCCTTTATCATGATTATGATTCTGTCTCACAATTCATCTATTTCAATAGGAGCGTTACATTTATAAAACAATGACCCACAGGTTCTCTCAATATTCTATACCTACATTTTTGGACAACCTCTTTCAACATGAAATCGATTTACATGGAATAAAGAACAGGGAATTACAAATTGTACTTGTGTCCTTGGTGCAAAGACTCAATTAGACGATACAATTGGACTTTCTTTACCTCAATGAAGCGCAAATGGAAGATAACAACTCCGTTTCCCAATTGGTGAGAGATGATTACTATTCGAATAGCCCCTCATCTGTCATTGGCCAGAGCACCTCCATATACTTCCTATAGGAACACAATTTATCTATACTACTACCTGGGGTTACAGATACATTTATGCCACCACATCCCCTCTCCAAAATCCATTGAATCATATATGTTGCTTGGATACTCGCCAGGTATGTGAATCTCTCTGCACTGCCTACAATTAATATATACCCGGTACAGTACTAGTAGAACCTCTACCATCAAAACTGGGCTTCAAATGACATCTACTGGATATTCCATGGTGCTATGTTATCGCTCCATAATTGTCTTTGGAAACTTACTATGTCAGTTATCAGATATAGAAATCTGAAACAGCTACACCACACAGAGGGTCGTTAAACACACTCAATGATTCTGCTCAACAACCGTCACCATCATCAACAGCCATTGAGTGGTGTGCACTCAATGTATGTGTGTTGCTCCTACCATGTTGTATCCAAATGAACGTACTTCCCTCTTCTTCAGTTTCACCTCTTCTACCATGCCTGTTTAGATAGTTATAGACAACAGTGAAGAAGTCCGAGCCTTGAGATCTCCAAGGTTGAGGTCTCAGGCCACAGAGCTGCTCACTAAATTGTCGGCAACTACCTGAACAGTATGGTAGAGCTGGTGGTAGTCTACAACTACAAATGGTGAGCCAATCCCAGTGGATACCGCACAACTGCATCTGTACGTAATCCCTCCAGGATGGCTCGGGTTGATATATACGGACAATATCTAACTGTCTAACTCCAGCCACTTCAGTAGTCAATAGTGCCATCTTTGAGTTCAGCCTTCGATTATCAACAGGAGGAATGACAACCACACTTGAGTCCAGACTGAAGTCATCTACCGAAAGTTGGACAGACTTCCTTCAGACAACCTTCATCCTGGACGATCTTGTGTGACTGTCAATCTCGCAGTCGAAATCTGATGGACTCGCTGTAGCTACCGAAGACTTCATCTTCCATCACCAACAGTCATATCAACCACACTTGAATTCAGATTGAGCTCATCTAAAGAAAGCTGGACAGACTTTCCTGAGACAACCTCCATCCTGAACAATCTCATGTGATTGACAATCTCGTAGTCGACAACTTCTGACAGACTCGATGTCGTTACCCAAGACTTCATCTTCAGCACTTCTTCGAAGCCATCTTCCATCACCGACAGCAGTCATGGCAACCACACTCGAGTTCAGACTGAGGTCGTCTAACGAAAGCTGGACAGACTTCCCTGAGACAACCTTCAACCTGAACAGATCTCGTATGGTTAACTGAACTTCCAATGATAATGCCGTATCATAACCCGAAATCAGAGAGTAGCCCAACTGTACTTTTGTATCACATGTTGTCTGAAACCTCAAGACGATAGCATCCCAAAAGCACCAAACCTCTGTCCAAAATGCTCAGTTAGCAAAGCCCTCACTATCTGTAGACCTTGTACCTTATACATCCTGTTGTAAATCAGTGATCTGGTAAAAGACAATCAGCCAAAGCAGTGACCATACAAAGCAAGTTGACCAAACTCACTTTGTTTTGCCACTGCTCAAGAGTCTTCATGTATTCCCAGCTTTGTTGCTGTGCTAGACAGTACACCCTAAGACGTGTCAAGGTGATAACCTTGAAGGAGGTGGACAGACTCCAACAAGGCCATCAGCCGTTGTTCCCATCTTTGGAGATTTGTGGGAAAGAGTGGAAAGAGTTGAAGAACAATTTTTGAGGATTCAGAGCTGATTAAATATTCAAAGCACTGTGTTTGTGGACTTTCCATCTAAACGGGTTATCTTGATGGTAACTGGGGTTTTGTGAAATATGCAACTCACTCTGCATAAAGGCAGAATGCACGAGTTTGAGTTAAATTGTACTGGGGATATAGCTGTTCGCCATACAATCCGTCTCTTTGTGTACTGGAAGATTGTCAATTTTTAGTTTACTTCATGCGTGTCATCATGCACTTCATCATGTTTATCTGCTATTGTTTCCATAGTGAATAAACCTTTGTGTGATATGCAACCGTTTTGATGCGTGCAGAGAGTTTTGACTTACATAGCTTAAGGTTACGATACACATAATCACTATACATCTAATAGCCCAGATGTGGCTTAGTGTACACTATCACGTTTATGGTGATGTCTTTATTGATATTGTTGAGATAATCCTTGTATATGCTACTTCAGAAAGGATGTGAATATGACTGATTAGCTAACGAGTGTACGATGCGTTATATGTGGTGTCCTTCATGGGCTATTCACCATTAGCATTACTAACCGTGGTAATGATGACTTGGTTTAGTTTCAGTCCATTCTAGTCTCCCGTTGTTGTGAGCCATAGATGCTCTTTTCCATCGTGAGGATGGTAAAACTGTAAGCTTACCAAATGAATCACTGGGGGACCCATCCATAGCTCCTATATACATTAAGCGGTGCTCTTGTACCACCATTCTGTGTTCTTTCCGTAGTTATGATGATACGTTGAAATATATGTCGTCGGTTATGGTTTCTTTGTACAAAAAGCTGTCAATATTAAAATGGTAAAGATGGTTTTCTCGTAACAGCCTTAGTTCTTGATTCATTGGAGTCCAGGTATTTCCTGTTTGGGCCATTGTTTCATATCAAATCATGCTATGCCTATATATATATATTGACTAGATAAAAGCGTGACGAAGAAGTAGTTAAGCCTCGTCCGAGATCAAGTTAAAAAAAGCTATACCATACATATCTCAATACACTACATCAGATTTTTTCGGTCTAGATTTCCATATCTTTTCCTTTAAAAAAGGAAACAGTTTGTTTAACGGGGGGGAAAGAGGCAAAAAAGTGTACTTTGACGGTGAGTGGCTCAGCAGGCGCAGCCGAACATCGTGACTGTATGTTCTGCAGTCTTCGCCTCGTTGCTATTGGTATAACCATCACAGACATAAAAGTGTCCTTATTATATAAGCTTCGAGCCTGACATTCCCAGATTCGAAAGAGCGTTGGCCACCTGGCTGTTGAAGTTATAGCTCATTGTCTAAGCTCAGTGCTTTGATAACCTGAGGATAAGACAATGTTGCAACACCTCCCCATAGAGATTGTGGAACAGATTGTCCCATATCTTGATGTTCAAGACATTGATAACCTGCTTTCCATTGAATGCTTTAAGGGAATGTTGCAAAGTAGGGTCCTTGTTGTTGAATGCGGTGCTGGAAAACCTGAGCTACCGGTATTCTTGAGGCCCCCAAAACTTCCTGAAATATTCCCAAATCTTACGAAAAGGTGTACTTCAGAAGAGTTTACAGATAATATTCCCATGATTGAAACCTATATTTGTCTCGTCATCCTGAGTGACAGCTTTAACGGTGCTGAGATGATTGAGCACCAGGATCGACACATCTGTAAGAAGTACTACTTCGCCGGTGTGAAAAAATGTACTATACACCCTGATACGTTCAATTTCTTGAGGAAGAAAACTGCTTCAATGGACACCATTTGTTGTCCTTCAGTGGATTGTGTCAGCTTTAGGGGTAACCTTGATACCTCCCAGTTGCAGTTTCCCAAACTGACTCATTTGGAGCTTAGAGATCTTTCCTTCATACCATCAAGGCTTGATTTCCCACTCTTGACAAATCTGACACTCTTTAGATGTGAGAGTTCCGATGTTTCTTCAAGATGGAAACTGCCAAATCTTCGAACACTCTTTGTGAGAGGGAAATTTCGCTCTATTAACTCATCCATTGACTATGAGACTACGACAATGAAATATCTTGATTTGGATGAAATTGAAGATATGAATGAATGGTCAAGAATATCCAATAAGTCTTTGAGGAATCTCGATGTTCGTAACCTCAAAAAGAACTTCATTTTGCATCATATGAAACTTGAATCATTACAAAGTCTCGTCATTCACTCTGATTCTATCACTATCTCCAACCTTGATCTCCCGAATGCAGAAACTATGGAAGTGAAACTTACAGGGAGTGAAAACTCTTTGAATTTTATCTTTTCAATTAATGCACCAAGATTGGTATTCTTGGAGCTCGGTGGGAAAACAGTTGGTCTTTTAAAAGGCATCAATATTCCTTCTTTAAAAACTGTTCACTTCGAAGAAACAGGGGATCCTCTCACTGAAGCATCGAACACTTTTCTTAAGGGAGTGAAAAGGGTAAGAGCTGAGTACACTAGTTGGTGGAAATTCTGTCCCCATATTGAGAAACTTGAATTCTGTGGTTCTGAATCACAGTGTCGAGAGTTAGAACTGTTCCATTTCTCTGAACTGAAAAGCTTTACCCTTTTACCATCAAACCCGCAAGGTGACGGAGGATGGAAACAGTTGATTTGTCCTGATGCCCCCGGTCTTGAGGCTTTTGAGATTAGGAACTCCTCGGTACACCATGTTATCGATAATCTGGGACGTTATGATAATTTGAAGACCATCTCTATCTTTCAAGACTGGGAAGCAAATACATATCCTCCGGACTTTCATTTCAAATCTTTAAAATTCTCAAATTTGGTGAAACTGAAGATAAAGCTTTGCTCAACAGACGTTGTCATTATCACTGATTGCTATTTTCCAAAGTTGACAAAGGTTGAAATTGAAAGGGAGCACTATCACGTGGATCGTATTCCACGTGATAGAGATCTTTCTCTCGTGGAGATGGAAGCACCAAAACTTAGATCGCTATACATCAGTGGTATATCTTTGGTTGACGATTTTGTTGTTAGTCAATATCCTAATCTGAGATCATTGACAATTATCAAGTGTTCCCAATTGAAAACACTGACTGTTGAAGAATGTCCGCTCCTTGAGACGTTTGAATTGTACTCATCACACAAAGTTAGCCTCAATCATGACGGATGTTTGAACAGTTTATGGGGAGATTCGTCAAACAGCTCTTCCCGTTTCGGTAAGAAAATGAAATCAATACTTCAGAAACTCAAGAACCCATTGAAGCCCAAAGATTAGTGGTTTCATTACAGCACTTCCACTCTGTTTATTTGATAAGTTAACAGGGATGTGCAAAAAGGGATTCTCTCATATGATTGATATCTGTGAAGGTATTGCACTTAAGCAACAACAAAAGATCACAGTAATAAGAGAACTAATCTATTTAATAATAATGTTATTGTTGTTGTAACATACATTAGAAGCTTGTCTGGCTTCCATAGATATGAACTACCTGGAGCTATAGCACAGCATAAGAAGAAAGTATTATGCAGATTAGGTTTGTCGAAGAATGAACATCATTAATAGATTAAAAATTATCAACATTGAAGGAATGTGACTTCAAGCTACAGAGATACATTGATCGTTTTCCTTTAGCAGACAATTCTCTGTTAGTTGGTAGAGCATGGTGGTAGGCTTTTCAACTTGGGGTTATATTTATGAGAATGTGGGGAAATTTTCATAAGATATCAATTGGTTAAAGATACTCACCGTACTTATTTGGCCTAGTTTATAGAAGGGTGTCTGATTATTCAAAATGGTAAAGGAACTTCCACCAATCATACATATTAAGCTCTATAAATTAGAAAAATAAAGCCATTCGTAATAGAGAAGAGCTCAACCAAGAATCTTCAATGTACTCTCCGGGTATAGGGTGCTTGAGAAAGGTGACACCCAGAAAAGGCTCGAGCCCCAGATCATATCATTACCATAGAATTGAGGATATTTACAATTTTGATCAATAAAATTCGAAACATACACACTATTGGCAGATGTACAGATCCTTGGGAGCGAATTCTCATTAGTCGGCGAGGCCGTTGAGACGAACAAATGGATAAGCACATATAATATGCTTGTCCCACATATCGTGGAAGATTAAAAGTTCAATACCTACAGTGGGTTATCAACCTTGATGTTCGGGTTTAATATGAAAACTCTGCCTTTTTATATCAATCAAAGCTTTTATATTCATATAATGATTCATTAATATTGATAATTATTACGAAATACTCAAAAAGAACCAGAATCTCGTTAATTAATCATTCAAAAGCATTTAATTTATTTCAAAAAAAAAACTATTTCAATTTAACATCAGTAAAATTAATATGCAACAACAATCCAACCTGCCCATAATAAATATCATAATTCTTGAGAAAAATCTACTATAATATCATCATTAACCATTAAGTAATCATAATATCACTCTTAATACATCACTTGTTCAATACTGGGAATATGACCATAGAGTAGTTGATGCACCAACTGTGACGGCTCCACACTGATCAGTAAGCCCGCGACAAAAAACCCTCTAGCCGGTGGTGTCCGGGTTAATGCCTGCCTGTAGTGTTATGTCTCAATATTGAACTTCATCTAGGAACATAGAGCTATGGACTTCATTCTAGTTGAAGATTAGTAATAATTGACAAGTGACGATGCTCCATCGACTTCCTGTGGAGGTTTTAGAACTTATAGTTCTGTATCTTGATGCTCAGGATATAGATAGTCTCTTTTCCATTGACTACTTCAAGGAGAGGCTTGGAGAGGGTGTACTTGTATTAGACGTCAAAGCTGGCGAGTCAGAGGACTCGGAGGAGTCGTTAACTGATAAGAAAGATGCCATCTTATGTAAGATGTTTCCAAATCTCACTAAAAGATGTACCTTAGAAGAACTGAATAACAAAAGTTTCAGACTCAAGTCCTTTGTGTGTCTTGTTATCTTAGCAGATGATATTGGAAGTGATGAGCTAGTGCAAATTAAAGATCTGAACATCTGTAAGAAGTATTGTATCCCTACTATAGATGACTTTACAATATACCGTGATGATTTCAGTTTCCTGGAAAGGAAGAATGCTTCGATGGATACAGTTTGCTACCTTGATGTTCGTTCTTTAGACTTCAGGAATAGTCTTGATTATCTCCACCGTTCCATCCTTCAGTTCCCTAAGCTGGAGGAACTCACATTGAAGAAGATCTCCTTCATCCCATCAAATCTCAACTTACCATTATTAATAAAGATGACTCTAAATCAGTGCGAGAGCTCAAACATTTCTTCGAGATGGAAACTGCCAAAACTTAAAACGTTATTCGTGAGAGGAAAGTTCAAAACTATTAACTCCTCAATTGATTACGGGAACACCACAATTGAAGAAATGCGCTTAGCGTCGATCAAAGATATGCGTGAATGGTCAGGTATTTCCAATAAGTCATTCAAAAAAGTTCAAGTAGGCGTATACATAGACCAGTTTACACTACAAGATATGAACTTTGAAGCAGCAGAGTTTCTTCGTTTCTCCACAGAATGTACAAGTGCAAGTACTGTCTCTAATTTGAAACTTCCAAATGTCGAACATATAGAACTGAACCTCTCCAGTGATGAGAGAGACTCGCATTCTATCTCTTCAATCAATGCTCCAAAATTATTGGTGCTTCAAATCTACAATACCCGGTTTGCACTTTGGGAAGACATAAAATTTCCTTCTTTGGAGAAATTGATTATCATAGATACAAGAGGCCCTACAGATGAACGTTTTAAAACATTGGCTAAATCTGTGAAAACCCTGGTCTGTGAGAATACAAATTGGTGGAAGTTCAACTCAGATGTTGAAAATCTTACATTCTCCGGTGATGAATCGAACTGTAGGGAATTAGAATCGTCCCAATTCAATCATTTGAAAAGCTTCACTTTTTCAACATCCTTTTATACGAACGAGAGGGCTGATTTGACAGATTACGTCTATCCAGATGCACCAAATATTGAAAGGTTAAGAATTAAGAATTCCCCACAGTATTATCCGTTTGATAAACTCAAGCGTTACAAGCATTTGAAAACGTTATCCATATTTGAAGACTGGGGAGCTGATGGAGACGTTCTAGGAGTTTCCTTAAAAAACTTGAAGTTCTCAAATTTGACGAAGCTTGAAGTAAAGCTCTGTTTCACCGATGTCGTCACCATTATTGACTGCTATTTCCCAAATTTGGAGATACTAGATGTTGAAAGGGAATTTGAGTTCGATTTCTACGAGATAGAAAGATCCCGTGGTAGGGATATATCTCAGATAGAGGTGGAAGCACCTAATCTCAAATCTCTGAGTATCACTGGTGTGACATTAGGCGAGCACTTCATTGTCAGTCAGTACCGGAAGCTAAAACAGTTGAAGATAATTGGGTGTGCCAAATTGAAATCTCTGACAGTCCTGGATTCACCATTGCTGGACACATTCAGATTGTATTCATATGACCAGGTCGATCTTCATCATGATGGGTGCCTAAAAGATCTACAGAAGAATGTAGAAGTCCACGAGGTTGAACAACCTGACTTTGATTATGAATCTGAGACTGAGTAAGCTACCCACCATGCTCAGCAAATGATTTGATATCGTTTCTCATGCCTCACCTCTTTGTCTGCTGATTCCAATGATCGCTGTGAAGAGTGTGAGCAATCATTGGCTTATGTGATAGCTGACCGTCTACTCGATTTCCGGATTTGTTACCGAATTAAATCAACCATAAACTACTGTTACACTTTACAGCTATTACACTCCTTCTGTTGTACTGAAACAACTTGAATTATGAATCGTGGATATTCGGGTGTTCTCTACAATGGTCTAAAAGGGACTCCTTGAACGGTTATAGCTCCACCTTTTTGATTCTTATGAACCAACCTTTCCTCTTATATTGTCTATATTATATTGTTTCGAGAATTATTTTATTGTCATTATCTATAAGTTTCAATTAGCACACCCTGGGCAAAGGAACATACCACACAAAAGTTATTGGTGGTAAAACATATATTGTGACGTCGATATAACTCGAGGACTATAAGTTGAACCCCGAAGAGTACATTTCATTGAGCTCCAACGCATGATAAATCTACACAATCTTACATAGCCAAGACATCAAGGTACATATGCGAACGGGTTTCTTCTTGTTGTGGGTGTCTGGGTGTGCTTTTTCAGATCTATGCGTAGTTATGGCAACTGGAAAGCTTAAAGCCGTGAAAGCATAAACAACACGTAACCAGGGGAACATGCGCACAAGTATCTGGAATTTCAGATCTAGCTAATTCTCTCAAATTCCCGGTTTAGCTCTCTCCAGAATCACTTTTACAGATCCAGCGATCTACGATTGTATGGGGTTCAGAAGATGTGAACAGAAAAAGGTCAATTGTTATCTCTTTTCTTCATGTATATAAGACAGATCACAGATCATGCACATTTCATCAGCTCAGTAGTCGTTGTCATTGTTTCTGGAACCGTAGTTGTCGTTGTC